CATTGCTACCATGAATATCCCCTGGAGGCACTTACCAAGACAGCTGTGATGTTTGGTGGTATCATCAACTTCCGGCTTGTGGACGGCATTACCTTGAAGGTCGGCTTGGGCATGATTCTGGAGGCAGTGCGTGATCATGAAATGCATGATCCTATGTACAAGTTCGGTGTCGAGGCGATTGAGCAGTTGATCAACCGTCTTCCTGAATGGGCTGGCTTCTGCCACCTGCTCCTACAAATCCCAACTCTGCAGGGCACTACGATCTACCAGAAAGCCGAGGAAGTTCTGCGTGAGCAAGGGAGTCAAGTTAGGGATGAGCCTGGAAGAGCGGACAGTATTCCGGGTGCTGCCGTGAATGGGAACGTTGACGAGAACGCGACCGCGGATGGATCGACTCGTAAATTTGTTTCCGTTCATGTTGATCCGCTTCTCAGACCTGAGGTCTATCGTGATCCTGATGAAGATGTCCAAGACAAGATTCTCTTCGTATTGAACAATGTGTCTGAACAAAACATTGATGAGAAGCTTCGTGATCTCACGGATGTTCTTCGTGACCAACACCATCAATGGTTCGCGTCTTACCTCGTGGAGGAACGTGCGAAATTGCAGCCGAATTTCCAGCAGCTCTACCTTGACCTGCTGGACCGTATCAATGACAAGTTGTTATGGGCGGAAGTTCTAAGGGAAACCTATGTCAGTGTATCCAAGCTTCTGAACTCCGAAGCTACAATCAACTCATCCACCGATCGCGGTCATCTCAAGAACCTCGGTGCATGGCTTGGGTCTTTGACCATAGCCAAGGACAAGCCCATCAAACATAAGAATGTCTACTTCAAGGGACTTCTGTTGGAGGGATTTGATAGCCAGCGCCTAACTATCGTGATTCCTTTCACATGCAAGGTGCTCGTCCAAGCCACCAAGTCCACGGTGTTCAACCCTCCCAATCCTTGGCTGATGGACATCCTTGCATTGCTCATGGAACTGTATCATTTCGCCGAACTCAAGTTGAACTTGAAGTTCGAAATTGAAGTCCTGTGCAAGGACCTCGACCTCGATCACAAGACCATTGAGCCCTCTGTCATCATCCGTGACCGCTCTGCTCACATCGAAGATGCGCTGTCTACGGCCAATATTCCAGATGGTCTGGAGGCGTTCGAGGACATGACTCTCACAAGCATCAATCAAGGAATCCGCCACGAGCGACTGTCACCCGCTGCCATTATGTCGACTCTCCCGAGCTTGGACAAGATCCTTGTACTCCCGTCGTCTGCCAGCAGCATGGTGGACCCGAATGTCCTTCGCCAGATAGTGCACAGCGCGGTCGAGCGTGCCATCGCGGAAATTATCACTCCCGTTGTGGAACGCTCAGTTACCATCGCATCTATCTCCACCGTCCAACTGGTGTCGAAGGACTTCGCAATGGAGCCTGATGAGGAAAGAGTGCGTCATGCGGCTGGCATAATGGTCAGGCAACTGGCTGGTAGCCTGGCTCTTGTGACCTGTAAGGAACCGCTCAAGGTGAGCATGACCAATTACATTCGCATGATCCAGCAAGAGTATTCCGATCAGCCAATGCCTGAGGGGTTGATTCTCATGTGTGTCAACGATAACCTCGATGCTGCTTGCGGTATCGTTGAGAAGGCCGCAGAGGAGAAGTCTCTTCCTGAGATCGAGAAGGTCATCGAACCCCAGTTGGAAGCTCGTCGGCGTCACAGGGCGGCCCGGCCCAATGAGCCTTTCATTGACCCATCAATGAATCGCTGGGGCCTTTTCATCCCCGAGCCTTACCGACAGGCTGCAGGAGGTTTGAACAAAGAGCAACTGGCAATTTATGAGGAATTTGCCCGTCAAGCCCGTGGCCCGGCAGCGGCCCACGTTCAGAATGTTTCCACCGATTCTGGTCGACAGCTTCCAGATGTTCTTCAGGAACCATATTCGCCTATTCCCAATCTCTCTACTCCTGCAGAACAGCCAGCTGTACCCCATAGGACACCACAAGCCCAGCAAGATGCTCGGTTACAGCAGACTGGTCTTGTCGGCGCACAGTCTCAGCTCAATGGCTTCCTTGAAGCACAAAGCCCGCGTGAGAAGGTCGAGAGCATAGTTTCCGAGTTACAGCAGGCAGCTCGGAACGCTCCTGAAGAGCGCATTCGGGACCTTGGCAGGGAGAGTGCTGTCCTCCAAGAGTACAACCAAGCACTCCGCACTATCCTTGCCTCTCCCAACGGTGAAGAACTCGCTCGTCTCACTGGCCTCAGAATCTGTACGACTCTGTATTCGCAGACACCCGGGACCTTAGAGATCGAAGTCCTCGCACACTTGCTTGCGAAACTGTGCGATATGTCCACTCTTGTGGCCCGCTACACCTGGGCCCTACTTTCTGAGGTTGACGACGAGCACATGTTCAACGTGCCAGTTACGGTTGCACTCATCGACGTCGGACTACTGGATATTCGTCGAGTTGACATGATCTTGACACGTCTTATTCTTCAAAAGAACACTGCTGCCCTGGATGTCCTCTCCAACCTCATGGACCGTGTTCTCTTCAGCGAGGAACCCTCTGCTCTAAGATCTGACTTCTCAGGCAGTCTTGAAGCCATGAGCCAATGGCTTGCGGAAGAGTCGGACGTTACTGTGGCCAACGACATCATTCGCAAGCTGCGTGAATCCGGCATTCCCGAAGTCGTCAACCCCCTACTCAGTGACAAGGCCAGGTCCAAGCGTGACCAGATGGAGTATATCTTCAGCGAGTGGATTGGTATCTACAAGGCTCCCGGTGCCATTGATCGCACCTACTATTCGTTCCTTAAGGATCTGCATCAGCGACAGGTCATGGACAACCAAGAAGACTCGGCACTCTTCTTCCGCCTTAGCATCGACATCTCGGTTGCAATGTTCGATCACGAGTCGCAGAACCCTAGTGGAAGTCTCGATGAAGCTTTCCTCTACATCGATGCCCTTGGCAAGCTGGTTGTCTTACTTGTCAAGTTCCAAGGCGAGTCTACAGGAGCTGCCAAGACAAGCAAGGCAGCCTTCTTCAATTCTACCCTCTCACTGCTCGTGCTTGTCCTGAACCACCACCATGTCATGAGAGGCGAAGCCTTCAATCAGCGTGTCTTCTTTAGGCTATTCTCCAGCATTCTCTGTGAATATTCCATGAACGGGCTTCAGCAAAGCGATCAGCATCAGGACATGATGTTCGCCTTTGCTAACAAGTTTTTGTCTCTTCAGCCCAAGTACTGCCCAGGATTCGTTTACGGGTGGCTGTCGTTGGTCTCTCACAGATTCTTTATGTCCGGTATGCTGAACATGCCGGAGCGGGCGGGCTGGGGACCGTACTGCGAAATCATGCAGGCGCTGCTCTCTTACATTGGCGAGCAGCTCAAGCCGGCCAGCATCTCATACGTTGCTAAGGACTTGTACAAGGGTGTTCTTCGCATCTTGCTGATCTTGCATCACGATTTCCCTGAGTTCGTGGCAGAGAATCACTTCCAGTTCTGTAACGTCATCCCTGCTCATTGCGCTCAGCTTCGGAACCTGGTCCTGAGTGCTTATCCGTCGTCCTTCCACAAACTCCCGGACCCGTTCAGGGAGGGGTTGAAGGTTGAGCGTCTGGAAGAAATGCGGGAAGCCCCCAGAATCGCCGGTGATACTGCTGGTCCGCTGGAACAGGCCAACATCAAGAGTGCTGTCGACAGTGCACTCCAGAGCACCAATGCATCTGACTCGGTCATTCAGCAGATCTCCGATGCCGTGTACAATCCTCCCACCAAGGAAACTGGCCCCTACTATACGCCGATTAACGTCAACGTGGTCCTTTTGAACGCGCTTGTACTTTACATTGGTCAGAGCGCCGTGTCTGCGAATGCGACCAAGGGCAACATTCGCGCGGCCTTTGACAATTCCCCTCACTCGGCGCTTCTCGAGAAGTTAGCAAAGGCCTTCCGGCCTGAGGCGCGGTACTATCTCCTGAGCGGCATGGCCAATCAGCTCCGCTACCCCAACAGCCATACCTACTTCTTTAGCTTCGCCATTCTCCGCCTATTCGGCACCGACTACTCGGAGCAGGACGATTCTGACATTCGTCAGCAAATCATCCGGGTGCTTCTCGAGAGGCTTATTGTCCACCGCCCTCACCCATGGGGTCTCATCATTACCCTGCAGGAGCTGCTTCAGAACCGGAGCTACACCTTCTTTCGTCTTCCGTTTATTCAGGCTGCGCCTGAGGTAAGCTTACCATTGTTTGAACGGTTTATTAGTTCGTTTCACTGACGTGACATTCCCTACTAGATCGGCCGTCTGTTCGATGCTCTCCTGCAGCACATCCAGCAACAGAGCCCGCGGGCCATGGCTTGAGTGATCGCCAACCTATACTCTCTCCTCTATCTTCTTCCACTATATTAATACGAAGTATTTGATCATGTTTCCATGCCTTGCATTCAGCCGCGATGACCGACTCTGATGGTGTTCTATCGATGCCGCTCATGACAATGCAGCGCAAAAATACGGGTCTTTACCGGGGTGTATGATCTGAAGGGTTTCTACGTTTGCTTTGCTTTCCGTTGGCATGCTGTATTGTTCTATGTTTCTATTCTCATTGTTTCGGTTGGGTTTCTGGGCGGGGTATGCATATTAGGACGTGTTAGCATGGTCCATCGCTACATGGTGCTTATATCTTGTTCCTTTTTGCTCGTGTCTCTTACGCTTCATGTTGGTGTTTTTTCTTATCCATTCCATCTACCACATCGGTAGTCTGTAACGATAAGTTTATCCTAAAAAAAGATGAGTCCATGAGTATCGGTGCATACGAATTTGTAGAAAACAGATCTCAGTAGAGAGATGGTCTAGATGGTGAGAGAGCATATTGTTTGTGGAGCAGTTCAGTTCCTTACTTAGATTGGTGATCGGCGTCGGGGAGATTCTCCGCGCCGTGCTGCTCGGTGACGTCGACGCGATCCTCGTACCTTCTTCGGAACAAAACAATTGTTGCGGCGGTTCTCCTGTCGCCGCACCTCCCAAATCCCTAACTTTACAGATCGATTAAGGAACCATGAATCCTGACGGTGGAGCAGACCCTCATAGGGGCGTCGTGTCAGAAGTGATGGTACCAATTCCTCTCTCTTCTCCCATCCATCATGGCAGACCAGGAACTAACGACTTTCGCAAACACGCAGCACACAGTGACAGAATACCTCCGACCACTTGTATCGAAACGGGCCCAAAAGATATATCTAGGGGCCTTTCTATTCTTCTGTACAGCTATAGCCATGATCGTCACATCGACGGTCGCGTATGGGGTCTTCTATTACAGGTTCATCCCGCAGGCGGGCCTTGAACGGATTGTTCACTTGCAGTTTGGGTGAGTTAGGATCTATATGACGAGCAGGCATTGATGAATTGATACCTTTGCTTGGCCAATGTCTATGACTGATACTTGACTCTTTCTGTTACCGAATCCTAGCGAAGGACCTCCCTGGGGAATTGCAAGCCTGGGATCAGACCTGGTTTCATCCCTGCCGTACGATGTCCAGGTGGAACTCGAATTACCACGAACACCCTCCAATCTCGCCGCGGGAAATTTCATGCTAGATTTGGCCCTCCTATCCCGTCCGTTTACGTCTGCTCCGCAGGATACGAACACTTCGATTACGACTCTCTCCCATTCGCGCCGCCCTGCTATTCTTACCTATGCTTCGCCGTTGGTGGATACCGCTAGTAAGATCTCGTTCATGCCGTTTTACGTGCTGGGATGGCACCACGAAGCGGAGAAGCTGCAAGTGCCGATGATGGAACGAGTGCAGTTCGCTCGTGGTTCGCGCAACATACCGGGAAGCTTGCGCTTGGAGCTGCACAGCTCCGAGATAATGCAAGTATACAAGGCGAAGGTCATGTTCCGGGCGCGGTTTACGGGCTTGCGGTATGTTCTTGGTACCCTTTGTATTCTCGTTTTCTTGATGATGCTGATAGGGAGGTTAGCTGGGTAATGTATAACTGGAGACTCACTTCATTTGTTGTCTTCGGGTTCCTGTTCTGGAGCATCAGCATGGCTTCTGCAGGGCTCGCATGGCTGGTTTTAGCATCGCTTCTTAGCAGTCGGGATGATACATCCGGTCCTGTTGTTAAGGAGGAGGATCGCAGCGCTACACCCCTCATCAAGAAAGAAGAGGAGGAAATTGACGAGCCGCTTTCCGATGTACCGATTGCGGAGTCCTCCAAGGCGGCGGGGAAAAGGAGGGTAATAGAGCCTGAGGATGCCGTGAAGGAAGAGGACGAGGAAGGTGATGTGGGAAGTGCAGATGAAATTGCCCTAAACAAAATTCTGTTTGAAGGGGACGAAGAAGATGGCCGAGGCGAAGAGCCTCTGGAGGCTTCTGGCTCAGGCACAGCCAGGGAGAGTGCTCACGCCCGAGGAGTGCAAAGGCGGCGAAGCCATATAATTCAAGAGTAACAGAGATAGGCATTGTAGCTATTCCTTTCGAGATACCCAATACGATACAGTTGTGTACTGGTTTAAATGTTGATGAGTACTGGACTGCAGATGGAGCGATGGATATAGTTAAGGCAGAGAGAGTAGTTATCGATAACGGGTGGATAAGGAAGAGAAAGGCGGGGGAATATCGCTGCCGCCCAACTCTGCCTTTGCCTGCCCCTCCACCTTCTCTTCCTTCTCTCCTCAGCCCCTGTCTATCTCGCTCCAGACTCCTCACGCTCATACAATGCATATCTTAGTAAGTGGCCTATCCTATTCTCGAAGACCTCTTCTGGAGCAAGACCAGATTTATTTCCCCCAATCCCCCTCTGAACTCATGCTGATCACCATCCTCCGCCTATAGGTTGTCAACGACGACGGCCCGCCGTCCAACCAGTCCTCGCCGTACATCCATTCCTTCGTCCAATCGTTGCAGTCTGCCGGGCACATTGTATCTGTCGTTCTCCCCCACCAGCAGCGATCATGGATCGGTAAAGCCCACCTGATCGGGGCCGCCGTGAAGCCAACCTACTTCCGTCCCGGTACTCTGCACCAAGACGATGGGACCACACACGAGTTCCCTCACGGTATGAACGAGGGCGATGATGACAGTTACGATGGAGATGAATGGATTCTTGTGGACTCCACACCGGCCAGCTGTGTTCAGATTGGCCTGTACCACTACTTCCAAGACCGTGGCCCGATTGACCTCGTGGTGTCCGGTCCGAACTACGGCCGGAATTCAACTGCTCTCTTCGCCCTGTCCAGTGGAACCATTGGCGGTGCTATGGAGGCAGCAGTCTGCGGAAAGCCCGCGATCGCACTGTCGTACGCCTTTAGCTCCAGAGACCATGATCCCGTTGTCATCGCGGAGGCATCGCGTCATGCCGTTCGGTTAATCGAGTACCTCCACAAGAACTGGGCCGACGGTGTGGATCTATATACTGTCAATGTCCCGCTGGAGCCTGGTGTGAGCCAGAACAAGGTGCTGTACACCAACATGCTTGATAACCGCTGGTCATCGGGCAGCTGTTTCCGCGCGGTCGATGCCTCGGCCTCGGCCTCGGCCAATTCGCCTGAGAAGCAGGAGCACGACGTGCGACACCAGACTGTGCCCGCGGGAGAGAAGGCGCCATCAGCCGTGGATGGAACGAGCCCATTGAAGAGATCTCGCATCCAACACAAACACTTCGAGTGGGCTCCAAACTTCTCGGATGTGTACAGAAGTGTGGAGGAGGGTGCTCCAGGGAACGACGGCTGGGCTGTCAAGGAGGGCATGACCAGGTTTGTACAGACCCTATCAATTTGCTGGCCAATCCGCTAATACGTCACAGTGTTACGCCGCTTCGAGCCAATTTCATGCATACCCCTGGAATTCAAGGAGAGATTACGCTGTGAGTGGAATGATGCTGAGTCGCGGCGTGGTTGCATATAACATAGAATTTGCGCGTCTGTCAGATATACAAGCTAGTTTATGCATCTCGCACTCTGCTGTTCGCCCCTTTGTCTGATGTTTTTGCTACCACTTTATCTTGGTCTGTCTGTTATGGCTGGTATTCTGATAGATTCCATCTCATGTAGACCGGATAATAATACTGAGCCTACCTTCTATTCTCTCGTCGACAGCGACGACTCCTATGTCCAGAGTCTGATGGAGCGGGCGCTCCAGCGTCGTCTTGGAAATGGTCAATGTCGCGCCATCTCATCTCTCGCTGACCTTCCCTCTCGCACTACACCTATCTTCCAATACCGTGAATACGAACGGCTAGAATTCGAGCATGTCATGATGCACACCTCCACCTCTCTCGCCAACGCCTACATCATCCGCAAAGCCCTCATCCGCAAACACTACCTGTCCAACACCGTCATCAACTGGGTGACGAAACACCCAGACAGCGTCCTAGCCAAGCACTTCAAGCCCGGCTTCGACTTCGAGCTCGACTACGCCGAATTCCTCGACGACGCCCTCCTCGAGGCCTACGAGCTGCGCGACAGCCTCGCCAAGAACGAAACCCTCCCCGACGAAGAAAAAGAATGGTGGATTCTCAAGCCCGGCATGAGCGACCGCGGTCAAGGCATTCGCCTCTTCAACAGCGAAGACGGGCTGCGCGAGATCTTCGAAGAATGGGAAGTGCCCGACTCCGACGATGAAAGCGGCTCCGAGCGTCCAGAGCCCGAAGAAGAAGACGAAGACGACAACCACGGCGTCGTAACCTCCCAACTCCGCCACTTCATCGCCCAACCCTACATCGACCCCCCACTCCTCATCCCCTCCTCCCACAACCGCAAATTCCACATCCGCACCTACGTCCTCGCCGTCGGCTCCCTCAAAATCTACGTCTTCAAGGAAATGCTCGCCCTCTTCGCCGCAAAACCCTACTGTCCTCCCTTCGAAGACGAAGACGAAGTCACCGACCTCGCCCGCCATCTCACCAACACCTGTTTCCAGGAAAACGGCCGCGCTAACCCCGACAGCGTCCGTCGCTTCTGGAACCTAGAAGACTACGTCCCCGGTCTCAGCGATACATGGAAACAGAACGTCTTTGATCAGATTTGCGCCGTGAGTGGCGAGATCTTCGAGGCTGCGGCGAGGGGCATGATGGTGCATTTCCAGACTCTGCCGAATGCGTTTGAACTCTTCGGTGTGGACTTTTTGGTCGATAAGAAGGGCAATGCTTGGTTGTTGGAGTTGAATGCCTATCCGGATTTCGCTCAGACTGGTGAGGATCTCAAGGAGTTGGTTGTGGGCAGGTTGTTTGAGGAGACGGTCGATGTAGCTGTCAAGCCGTTCTTTGGGTTGCAGGAGGATGGGGATGTGAGTAAGGGGACGGAGATGTTGAAGTTGGTTAGGGATGTGGATTTGGGAAGGAAGGTTTGATCTATTTGCCTTCTTTGTTCTTTGTTCAGTAAATTCTGGTTATGTTGCTTTTTGTGGCGTTAAGTTCTTATGGTTATCTCTTTACTTATATATAAAAAGGGGTGCTGGATTACTGGGAAATGGTTGGTAGATAGAGGTAGAGGACTAGAAAAAGTTTTGGATTTCTTTAATAACATCATAGTATGTAAGAACGCATTAAGTTCACTGTCCTACCAACAAACATCATATCCCTCTGAAATAGTAGTTCAATCAAAAGGCCACCACCGCCGATACTCCTCCCTCTCCTCCCCACTCTCCGCCAACTCCTCCACAATCCGATCCCTAGCCTCCCCCAGCGCAGCCCTACACTCCTCATACCTCTCATTCTCAATAAGCCCCTTATCCGGCCACAAATCGCCCAATTGCTCCTTAACCCCAGCGACAAGCTCCGTCCCCGCCACCGCCCCATCACATGCCACTTTAATACGCTCGATCTCCGCATCTGTGAACTCAAACGGAAACGGGACGTCACCGGTACCTGGTAAATCTCCCCAATGATCCCTCATATCAACAAGCAGCGACATGAAATGCGCCTCGCCATACTCGAACATCCGATGAGCGAGGAATATCAACCCGTACGCGGGCGTCTTCCTGAACTCGATAGCTCGATATAGAGCTGGGTTCTTGGCGCGCGTGAGCTCGCGCCATCCGATGAATATGTTCTGGGTGGTGTATTCGCGCACTGCTGCGGCTCTTTCCTGGGGAGTGAGACCGGAGAGATTTGGTCTAGGTAGTAGGTCGAGCGTCTCGGGCTCGAGATCATCTGTCCAGTCGAGGAAGGCCGGATCGGGATTATGGGTGAAGAGCGGGGATATGTGGGTTGATTGCCAGTCGATTATGGAGGTGATGGAATCGGGGTTCTGCGGGTCGATGAAGATGTTGTCGTTGTGGAGGTCGTTGTGCCAGAGGTGGGGGGTGGTGAGGGCTGTCTCGTTTGGGATGAGGGATTCGAGGATTTGGTGGTAGTGGGATAAGGCTGTGATTTTGGTTTGGGGGCATGGTTGGTAGAGCTTTGGGCCGCAGAATAGGGCTAGTTGTTTCGGTGGGTGCAGGGATTGGATAGCTTTTGTTTCTCGTGTCCCAACTGCTTGCAGAAATTGCAGGATATCGGGCCCTATAAACGGGTCAGCGACTGCTCGCGGCTGATAGGGATTCTGATATAGTGTGTACATGGTCCTCTATCTATATCTCAAAGTGAGCGGTTTGCAACGCACCAATCGCGGCCTGTGGTAGGGCCGATGGCGAATTGTGAATCCTTGACGGCTTTGCCGTCCTTGATGTAGTGGGTGTCTTCTGGTGATGATGCTTTGATGTCTTTCGCGAAGGATAAGCTACCGTAATGCGAGAATGACACGCTCAGCCATTCCTTTTGTAGACGTATCATGGCAAGAAGCACTTGGAGCTTCTGAGGTAGTTTCAGTGACTCCCAGACATGAGAAAGAGGAACGCCATTAGCTTTCTCCATGATGTTGAACTCGGCCCCGACTGGGTGTGATTGCGCATGTGAGTTCCATGTATAGACGCGAGGCACTGGTGTTTCGAGCACGTTTCTGGCCTCCCAGGATCAAGTTGTGTTAGCTGGATCCAGCATATATAATAGACGTGGTAGGATATACTTACGAAGTCCATGGTAGCAACCTCGCTAGCTGTAGTTAGATACGGAATACCAGCATTCGGATTAGGAACCTTGGCTACGACTTCGCGGCCATTGTCCATCGACATGAGAAAGGCCTTGTTGAACATGCCGTCGGGGTACTTCTGTATGGAGGTGCAGTGAGTGGCTCCGACTGATTCTGCTGCGACACGGGCGAGGCTGTTCATGTCGAATTGGATCTCGCGCATGCGGCGGTTTTTGGCTTCATCGACGAGAAAGCGGCCTCGTGTGAATTTGAAGAATTCATCGTGGTTGTTCCAGCCTAGTAGTGATTAGAGTCGGTTGGGTTGTGTTGGGGTGTCTTGTTTACCTGTTTGAGAGGAGGTTCTGCTAGTGGGAGTGACATTGTAGAAATGCGTTGATGCTCTTGAGAATGGGCGGTATGGTTGCTTTAGGGCTTTTTGGGTGTATTGTATATAACTGTAGCGACAAAGGGGCGCGGCTGGGCAGCGATTCATCGTTCTTAGATTGTGATACTTTAGATGATGTCCCTGCCCGGAAACAGAAGTACGTCTAGTTGAACATGTGATCATCAGATTATCCAGCATCAATGACTCAATGATGATAACAAGACCAATTGAGAAGTGGCCGCCTGTATGCAAATTAAGGATGCAGCAGCAGCGTGGATGAAAAGTAGGCAAGAGGTTGACAGGGATAAGGGGCTATATTCCATTGACGTCCCGTCTACAGCCAATGCACAATCACCACACTAGTATATAAACCAAGACAGAAGAACTACCCAAACCTCTGCTTAGCCAACGTCTTCAACCACCCAATAGTCTCCTCCTCCTTCAGTCTATATTGTTGCAACCTCTCCTCACGCTCCGCCGCCCTCGCCCGGAGCAATTCCTCCCTTCGAATCTCCCGCTCATTCTTCTTTCGCTGCTCCCTCTCCTTCGCCTTCTTCAACGAATCCAGATCATTCTCTCCAGACCCCATCAAGTCCTCCTCCGGCGCTGCCTCCGGAGATCCCCCACGCTTCGCCTCCGCAAAGGCGCGATTACTCGCCGCGGCCTCCTGTCGCTTCTCCATGCGCCGTTCATGAGTCCCCGGTTCCGCGCGCGGCGCTACCTCCTCCTGCAAGTATTTGATCTCGGACTTGTGTGAGCGCAGTTCACTGCGATATTGGGCGCGCGAGTCCTGACGTGCCGCAATTGCGTCTTCGGCTGCTAGTTCTGCTCATTGTTAGCTTTCATGCCCATATCAAGTAGACCCTTCTACCACCATCTGGTAGACAAAAGAGCACCAGCAAAGAAGGGACGAGACATACCCTTCCGCAACTCCAAATCCTGCATCGTAGGTATCGTAGGTCCCGAGGACGGACCTCCACCACGCCCAGATGTAGAGGGAAGCACCGGGCCGTATTCATCGTCGTCCTCATCTTCCTCCCCTTCAACATCCCTATCTCGAGTCTCATCCCCACGCTCATTCTGTTGCGATTCACTTCGATAACCAATATTCGTACTCGTCTGCGCCTGCATTTGCGCAATATTCGTTCTCGCCTTTTCCAATGTAGCAGGGTCATACCACCCCTCCGCTAACTCCCCGCGGTTCCTGTAGTAGCACCATGTCAACTAAATCCCGTCCTCGCATATATCTAACCATCCAAAGAACCAAATCCGTGATCCGCTTACCATTTCCTCATAAAGCTCTTCCACCTCCCCTTCACCTCATCCTCCGGCAAATCATCCATAATTATCCCCTTCTGAATGTCCAGGTACATATCGAACATGGGAGCGTAGTGGTCCAGGTCATATTTGGTGAGTTGGCGCGAGTTGAAGGGAAGGACTATGGGGGCTGCTGGTGCCGGTTCTGGTTGATCTTTTGAGCGGGAGGTATGGCGATCACGGCGGTGGCGATCGCGATCGCGATCATGGTCGCGGTGGCGGTCGTGTCGGTGATGGTGATGGCGGTGGTGGTGGTGATGTCTGCTGCTGCGGTGTCTGTCGGATCTAGAGGTAGGATCGCGATTGGGAGAGCGCGAGCGCGTGCGTGAGCGGGTGTGGGAGTGGGTGCGATCTCGGTGGGAGCGTGAGTGCGAGTAGGAGTCACGGGTGGACATGGTTCTTTCTGGGTGGGGGTTGTCCATATTTGAGGATTGTTTTTGAGGTGTAAAATGTTGGAGACTTGTGAAGGTGAACGGGACTGACGTCGAAATGCCAAGCTTTTGGGTGCGGCGGATGGGCGTCAATCATGGAATTTCTATCGACTGATAAGAGCGGGTCTGCCCTGCGGCTTTATTCTGTTTCGTGGTTTATAGGAATTGAACGAGCATGCTGTTTCTAAGATTTTTTTTTGTATGTAATCGGGATACCTATGGGTAGAAGTGGTGTTGCGACATGGTACTTTCACGTGCTACATACTGTACATCCGCACCATCCAGCAACGCCTAGACATCTCATGCGTAAAGTTCGTTCGATAACCTCCATCTAATTACAGAATTGGAACAATGCAGTTCGCTGGAAAGTGAAATCTTCATAGTATCTGGTATGTGTTCAGCTGGCCGGGGTGCTCGACTCAGGAGCCGCGCTAGCCGTGTTGTCCGGAGTGCTGGTGGAAGGGGTCGAGGGAGATGCGGTCTTGGAGCGGTTGGCAGCAGCCATCTGCCAGGCAGGAATGGAAGCAGAACGGCCCAGGTGCGACAGAGGGCTGTTGCTCGCCGAGGTAGTGCTAGGGCTCGCGCTTGGCTGTGCTGATTGAGAGGGCTGCTCGGTTGATGCTGGCGCGGCGGGCGTACCGTTGACCGGGGCCGTGGCGGCGGGAGTTGACTCCTCCGCAGGCCGAGAAGCAGTAGGAATGCTCATACCGCTGAACCGTCCAGGAGCAGGAGAGGTGGCGCTGTTGCCGCTGCCACCAAGTCTATTGCCCAGCAAGACCTTCAGGCTCTTCAATTCAGCACCAAGCTCCTTCAACCGTGTCTCATTGCCTTCCCGGGCGCCTTCCAGCGCCTTGGGGATTGCATCCTTCAGTGACTTGACCTCGTCGCTGATACGACGGGTCTCATCGTCCCTCCGTCGGGAGGCATTCTTCATGTCAGAAACGAGGTTCTCAACCTCCCGCAGGGCGGTGTCTAGCCTTTCTGTGCGCGTCTCCTCCGCAGACTTCAGTGCGGCAGTATCTGTGGACAGTTGTTCGATCAAGGCAAATGCGCGATTGAATTGCTCATCAATGTGTTCCTTGTCTTGTTCGAGCTGGGGTGGAGTGGGGGGTGCGATTAAAGGTGAGATGTAGCGCTTAACCAATGTCAGCATGTTTCAATTGATCGAGCAATGTGAGTAATGAAACACCGACCTTGGTAATCGTGTAGAGTCCGTAACCTACTCCTCCCATCACCGTAGCCATGATGAACCAGTCACGCCAGTCCCGTTTCGGGGGCCTTGCGACGCAAGATTAGTTGAATACAGTATGGAATGGGCAAAACTCGAGACTCACTCTGGCGGAGCCTGCCATTGGCCATAAGGAGGATATCCATAGCCTGCAGCAGATGGAGGAGGTCGGTAGACAGCTTGTTGGGGAGGCGATTGATAGCCAGATGACGCGGTTACGGCGGCAGCTGCTGTAGACGGATCTTCACCTGCTCGGGCGAGCGCAACATCGATCTCTTCTTTAGTCAGGTTCTTTGACTGGAGGAATGCGACTCGCTTCTCAATTGGCGAGGCGGCGACAGATGGGTCTTGGAGGACTGCAAAGACATTAGACGAGCACATGAACCAACATGAAATGGGAGTGTTGAGCACATACAGGTGACCTAGCGATCGAGCGTGAGGGTCAGCTCCGATTCCGGCAACAAGATGTTAATCATAGATAAAGGCGGCACTTACAGCAGAGGAGATAAGCTCCTCGCGAACCATGATGGGCAACTTTCCCAGGAGCAGTAGCTCTAACTGGGTGGTAACAGGGTTATTCTTAGCGAGGAGGTGTGTTGGGGGAAGGATCCGAGAGAAAGGGACGATGAGGAGAAGGGGAGAAGAGAGACACAGGATGAGGAGGCGATGGAGCGGCCCTTCCCAAATCAGATGGACCTCGGAAGTAGCGCTGGTAATTTACGTGGTTCTGGTTTCGTACCGCGGCGGAGATTCCCGTGACTTTCCCCAGAGTCTCGTGATAGCGCCTTGGCCCAATCCGGCAGTTGTTCCCTGAGCTTCACCGCCTACTCTGTTGGGACGAGAGAAAGTGGCATGTCTTGTTTACTTTGATTATTATGATTATTGCTGCCCGCTCGGTTGCTACTGCCATCCACAACTCTCCCGCCTCCTATTGCGCCTCCATCGCCAACTTGGTGTCGCGCCTCTTCTGGATATATCGATTTTGGTACAAATCGCATACCCCTTGCAAATCAGCCGTTTTTCAAAGAGTTTGCGCTTGCTAGGGTTGTGATTGCCTGCCGCAGTCGCGGCTTTTACCGTCATCATGTCGCAGGATACAGGATTGTTCAGCATCAGGCGCCCCCGCGAGGTATGTGCCTTGCTTCCTTCAGGCCTGCCCCTCTTGTATAATACTAATCTGGCTGTCTCAGTCTATGGCGATGGGTAGCCAGAATTACTCCGCTCTCCCGCAACCTTCCTCGGCCTTGAAGCGCACCAGTTCAATTGGATACCAGAATCCTCCTTTCACCTCTCAGCACACGCGTATGTCGCTTCTCAACTCCGCCAGTCGTCCTCAACAGCCCAACTTCCAGCGGTCTTCTTCAGGTGGAGGTTTTGGTGCCGATGCCGGTCTCTCATCAGTCAGACGCTCCGTCTCCAGTAACATGTTCCATGGCCCTAGTGTCGGGCGCCCAAGCTTTGCTCCGGGCCCGATGTCGTCGCAAAGCACAGCAGGATCGCAAGGATTGCAACGGAGGAGTAGTGTCTTCTCACGACCGTCCGTGGGTGGCGCCATGGGTCACCATTCTTTCTTTACTCAGGTCCCGTCAGTTGCTGGTGTCCCCAGAGACCCGCGGCCACTCAGAGATAGGTCTTTTCAAGCTCGCATTGGACAAGAGCTGTTGGAATACTTGACGCACAACAATTTTGAGCTCGAGATGAAGCATTCACTGGGGCAGAATACCTTACGCTCTCCTACACAAAAAGATTTCAACTACATTTTCCAATGGCTGTATCATCGCATTGATCCTGGGTACAAGTTTCAGAAGAGCATGGACGCGGAGGTTCCACCCATTCTCAAGCAACTACGTTATCCCTACGAAAAGGGTATCACCAAGTCGCAGATTGCGGCTGTGGGAGGCCAGAACTGGCCGACATTCCTCGGTATGCTGCATTGGCTTATGCAACTGGCCCAGATGATGGACAGATATCTGCTTGGGGAATATGATGAAGCGTGCGCAGAGATGGGAGTCGATGTGTCCGGTGACCGGATTATCTTCCGTTTTCTTACAAGTGCCTACCACGACTGGCTGCAAGGCGGGGAAGATGAGGATGACGCGACGGCCGAGAAGAGACTAGTCCCTCACGTTGAGATGATGGCCCAGGAGTTTGAGAGAGGAAACGAGAAATACGTTCAGGAGATGGAATCTTTGGAAGCCGAAAACCGAGCGCTACGTGATCAGATCGAAGAGATGGAGAAGAATGCTCCGGATATGGCCAAGTTGGACAAACATTTCAGGATTCTGGAGGACGACAAGAGGAAGTTCGAGGACTACAACCAGAACGTCCAAGGCAAGATCGAGAAATATGAGACCCGTATCAAATTCTTGGATGACGAGCTCAAGAAGACGGAAGATGACCTGCAAGCCGCCGAAGAGGAGCGTGCCGGGCTTCAGGCCAGTGTTGACCAACAAGGCCTGACAATTCAGGACATTGATCGTATGAACACGGAACGTGAACGCCTGCAGAGGAATCTTGACGATACGGTCAATCGATTGGAAGAAACCCACGCGCGGGTCATGGCAAAGGAGGCCGAGGCCAGTAGGAAACTCGAGGATCTGGAGGAGATCGTCAAGGTATACAACACGCTCGGATACCAGAATAGTTTGATTCCTTCGTCAGCTGTCAATGCCAAGGGCGAAGATTACGAACTTAGTCTCAACGTCAACGAGAGCAATTTCTCCGCTTCTCAGGTCGGTGGTCTAGCGAACAGAATCTCAACCGATGGAGATCGACTATTGGCGGACCCGTTCACCGGTTATCACCCAGCACACTTGCTCAACCTCGATCTCCGCGGCATCGTGCGCAGCAATCTGCAGGCCCTCCGGAAGGAGATCAACGAGCGCCGGAAGCGTGCCATTGATGATGACCTGGAACGACGCAATCTCCTGGACAACATCAAGGAAGCAATGGACGAGAAGCGAAGCGAGGTTGAGGCTCTGGAGCACAAGGCACGTGCCGCTGAAGAGGAATTCGAGCGGCTCAAGGAGGTCACCACCACGCAGAAGCTCGCGTCGGATGCACAGATTGAGAAGATGGAGAAGGAGCTGGCCAAGATGCGAGCCACGTTGGGCGAAAGCGTTCAATTGATGGAGCAGCGCGAGATGAATACGAACATTGAGTATGAGCAGTTGACTCTCCGCGCTAACGCGTTGAGAGAAGAGTTGCACACCAATGTGGAAAGCATGCTGAACGATGTCATCCGCTTCAAGGTCCATGTCCAAAAGGGCTTGGAAGACTACGAGAGCTTTGTTGTGGACGAAGTCGAGCAGGAACTGGGTGGTGACATGCAGTATGCAGATGAGGACGTTGAGATGGGAGTTGACGAGGAGGAGGAGGAGGAGGAGCTCTAAATGATATTTCTGTGTATTCTGCGCCACGATGACGGTTCGAGTATGATGATTGATGATTGCGGGAAGCTCTGGAGTCGCAGTGTCATAAACCTTTGTTCATTCTGCTGATATCGTTGTCTACTACTGGGGCGCTATTGGGAGCTAGCTGGTTGGGATTATGCGTTATGGGTATTTTGGGATGTTCGGTTGTGGTACATATGTTGTTTATGATACCTTTGATGTTCAAATGCGCCATTAGTGTTGATAATTGCTAGAAGTGGGTGTACATACCATGCCTTTTACAGCTGTTTCATAACGCTTCCATCGGTAGCAAAAAGGGATGGATATTCCTCATCTATCTCAACTGACCGTAACTGAAGTAGTCCATGTTGCTACCACATACGATCAAAAGTAAATATCCGTATAAAAGGCACATCAATACATATTTAATAGGTAGTATAATACAGTAATCTATTATCGCTCATCTATAAACAACCCATGCATATATATCTCCCAAAACCAAAATAATACATAAACCCCCAAAAGGACACACACACAACAGACAGACCAATCATGGTATAAACACCCTCCCCACCCAAATGCTCAATCAAACAGCCACAGTCACAGCATCAACCTTCTCCTTCTCCTTCTCCTTCCTCTCCTTCTCCCTCCTCAACTTGTTCCCCTCTCTCCGTCTTCTATACACAATCCCCCCAACCTCCCGATTAATCTCACGTCTCCGCATCCCAAAGGCCTCGAACCTCTTGATACAGAAATCCAAAATATCTTCAGCAGGGTTACTCTTCACACCGCCCTGGCCTTCAAAGCCATAATACTCCGCCACAGCAGCCTGCGCGATAATCCTCACCGTCATGGGGTTTGGCATCGTGGCCTTCTCCCTCGCACGCTTGAAGTACTTGGCATCGAAGTGCGGATCGCCCTTCGCGGGGTTCCGCTCCTTGCCGAGATAGAATCTCTCGATGCCTCCTTCTTGGAGACGGCGCGAGGTGGGGGACTTCGTGTCGAGACACCATTTGTCGTAGAAGCGTTGGCCGGCGGCGCTGCCGCGGGTGTCGACGATGGCGGAGAGGAGGGTGTGGAAGGCTGTTGTGGGGATGTAGGGGATGGCGTTGCGGGAGGTATTGTTGGTGGTGGTGGTGGTTTTTTTGTGGGGGAGGGAGTTGGAGAGTGAGGCGGCGAGGTCGTGGAGGGTGCCTGGGATGGAGAGGAAGATGTTGTGGAGGCCGGAGATGGCGCGTTCTTGGAAGCGGGATGTGGCGATGTGGGTGGGTTCGTTGTAGACGCCCGTGAGGAGGCGGGAGAGGAGGTCCTTGGCGCGGGTGAGGGAGGTGGTGGTTTCTTGGAGGGTTGAGGGGTCTGGGGGTGGTTGTTGTCGGTAGATGGTGTGCTCGAGACGGATGATCTCTGCGGCGAGCGCGGTGGCGTTGCTCTGGCCCCAGGATTTGGCGCGGTAGTCGCGGAGGTATTCGAAGAGTTTGGTGACTGCGTCCCATTGGTGTAGGGCGATGCGGGAGTTGAGGAGTGCGCGGAGGGTGTTTGAGGAGAGAGGTTGGGAGAGGGATTGGACGACGGCGTCGCAGAGAGCAGCGTTCCGGGTGGCTGTGGCGTAGCGGATGATGGAGGGAGCTAGGGCTTGGTCGCCGTAGGAGCGGGGAGGGACTGGGGGGCCATCGATGTCGTCGGAGTAGAAGAGCCAGTTGCCGAATGTGAAGGCGCGCGAGACGGTGATTAGATCGATCAGCTCGGCCAGGGTAACGCTGGACAGTTGCGGCATGGATGATTCGAAGGGTTCAGCGGAATTCAAATCATCAAGGTCGAGGGTAGGGAGGACGACGCCAGGTCGATCAACGCGCGAAGAGAAGAACTCGTCGATGCGCTGCATCTTGCTGCTGTCAACGATGGCTTGCAGCCAGGAGAATGCGTTCAAAGCGTCACCGCAGAACCGCTTCGACGAATAGAACCGGATGTTGTACTCGATCAGGCCGACCAAGGCAGCTGTGTCATCGTACAGCTGTGACCGACTCATTCGGGTCAATGCATCTTCATTGACGTGGTGGAGGTCGGTATCCCAGGGCGGAACGACGCACGGCGCAATCCTGAGGAAGTCTTCGAATATCCGGGGGTCGGCTTCCGGTTTGAGGCCTCCTGATTCCACAACCCGCACGGTGAACCAGTTCGACGTTCTGCGCGTAGGCAATAATTTGCCGTCGTCCGTTGACGGGGCAATCGCGAACTTGAGACTGGAAGCATAGCGCAAGAGGGCGCTCGGTGACATACCTCTGAAACCGAGGCCTAGATATACCTGATTGGGAAGGCTATCCAGCAAGGCCGCGGCCACTTCAGTGCTCATGGTTCGCTTTCCGAGCCCGTGGAAAGGCGTCGGACTATGCCGCTTTCGCAGCATCGTAGAGCGCTCCTGGTGGCCGGGCTGTCGCCAGGTCTCTTCCTGATCGACTTTGGTCTGCCAGACCGACCCAGAGTCGTCGAGTAAAGGCTTCCAGCTCTGGAATTTCCAGGCCTGATCTCCAGTCTTGCTTGTCATTCGATCAATTAGCCATACGCCCTCCTCGATGTGACCATGTTCGACACAGCACCAGAGAATAAACTCCAGCCAGATCTCAGGCCCGAGCTCACGAACACCCATCTTGAATGGAAGATAAGGCGAATCCTCGCCAGCAGCAGCCGCTTTGGCAGCAACCTCCGCTTCATGAACCAGCCACGCAGCGTCAGACAGGACACTCATGATATGACTGGAAAGCAGATGCAGTCCCGGAGGTCGGAACGTAGCTTGGTAACTATCCGGCGGGACGTACTTATACACCCTATCGGAGATAGCATCAGAATGGTGCAGCCGAGCTAGAATCTGAAACACATGAGACATAGCCAGCTTCGACTCGTTAGACGAAGCATCAGCAGCCTCCAGCACGATAGACCCTAAGCTCTGCCACACCTCAGCCATAAATCGTTTCGAATGGTCATCCGCATACGGCCGCTCCGTGAAAGCATCCAAGCTCGTCATATCCGACACCAGCAGACCATTCGAAGCCACCTGCGGAATTTTCGGAGCCTGCGACTCAGACCTATCCGTAAGCTCATCCAGCGAGAGCCCCTGTCCCAGACCCCAATCATAGCTAGACAAAGGCCTAGAAGGTATCGTAACCTCCTTGAGAGAGTCCGCGGCATCAAGCAAACGATTAATCAAGAACTGCACAGCGGGCCAATTATTCAACCGGAAACCAACATACACTAGCAAATCCATCTTCCCGGAATCCCGCGCATGCAGCAGTAAATTGGCCAATTCAATCGTCTGCGCAAAATAAGCCGCTGTATCAGTCCCAACCACATTGTCATCCGAAACACCGTTAATGTTTGTATGACCACTGTCGCTATCTCTCCGCAACGAAGATGGCAGGTACTGATCCAGCCTTGCGATCCAAGCCTCCGGATTACTCTGATCTGGTCCTGCGATAGGACATCTCTTCATTTCCACCCTAACATAGTCTTGCAGCAATTGGCGATTGATCGGAGGACCGGCCCCGACGGAGAATTGGCGACTCCATTGTCGTCGCCTATCGGGGAAAGGTCCCCGGCTTGCGGACGCGAGTGTGTGTCGGGGGACGAGACGACGGAGGATCGAAGGGTGGAGGACGGAGGAAGATCCGCGGTCCAGGCACGGCAGACGAGCTGGACTCAGGCACCTTTTCATGACACGACGGAGGAGGTAGCGGAGGAGACCTGCGGGCGGAGGAAATCCAAATCTCGATGTGACCGTCGGACGGACGTTCTGTGGCGCATGTCTAATCGTTGAGATGGGTCGGCATTCCTCGAGCTGAGCGGACAAGGCGTGGGCCTGGCGATAACCGGCGACTTGGGGGGGAGCTGTTGGAGGGAAACGAAAGCTTTGGATGCTTTTCGTCGCCGCCGAAGAGAAAAGCTTCGCCGGGGAAATTCATCCTGCTGAGTAAGCGTGTTGCAGTCAGCCAATTAGGGCATTGCATATTCATATCACGGTCTAGATCGATGGATGGATTTTATTGAAATAGATATGATGAGGTCCATTGTATTTCAGTGCACAATAAACTATCATCCTATAAAAAGCCAATCAGACCCTAAAGCTCCGGTCACCTCTATCCCATCTCGTGTATCGTTGCAGTAGCCACCAGTTCCAGCCTGTATCACCCGGTTCTATCCATCACACCCTATAAAACACCAGTCGCCCTGCGTGATATCGTAGACGTTGATAGAAATACATGCCATAAACATACTTTCAATAACAGGAAAGAAAATAGAAAAAAGAAGAAGAAAAAGACTTGAGAGTCAATCCCAATAGACAAGAGGTATAGAGCGTCGCTGGCTCGCACGGAATGGGGATGACAATAATCATCAGGCGCGAAATAACCACAACGAATGGCAAGGTTGCGCTCTCCAAGCAAACAACCAAGGACACTCACGTTTCACCCCATGGTTCCTCATCGGTAGAGGAAGGGAAGAATGAGCGGATGAATTCCCCGCTGATCGGATCGTACGGGAAATACGAGTCCCCGGGACCGGAGTTCAACTCCGAATTCGTGGACAACGGGTTGGAAGCTGGCATCGCCAAGCCCTGGAAAGGCTGGTCGATCTGAGCGAACAACATGTTGTGTTGCTGGTTCATCTGAAGAGGAGCTGAGGCTGGATTGTTCATATCTGATGCCGCAGGGTTGTAGAAGGTTGGTCCCGCGTGTATGGACTGTTCCGGCTGGTTCGGATAGCCAGGTTGTGTACCGTTGAGCGCCTGGCCCTGATCCTGGGTCCGAGGCTGAGCCTCAAAGCCACACGCGGGCAAGTCGCTAATGTCGTAGCTCATACCTGCAGCAATCTGCCGGAGGCTGCCATAACATAACTCCCATGCGCGTCGAGATGCAAGACTGTTCTCAGACATTGCGAAGAGCCAGCGAATGGCTTTTTTGGCGGCGTGTAGGAAATTTGCCTCCTCATCTGGCATATGAATACTGCCAAAAGACAACTCCAACAGCAGCACGGTCGTTGCCTGCATAAGATAGTGCAGAATGCACCACCACGGGCAGATATCGTAGAGACGAACAGCGTCAGGCACATCAGGGATCAAGTCGAGCATCTTTCGGGCAGAGTCTAATGATATCACCGCCATCTCATGGCTGAATGTCTCCTTCTTGTTAGACGCCGTCTGTCGTGCGTCACGGCGACATAAACACGGTCGTCCGAGCGTAATGCGCGCGCTGTAGTAGTGGAAGGCGAGGAATAGCTTGCCACGCAAGGTATCTGCTGGCTGGTCTTCCCGTCGAGTGAAATCATAGGACTCATGGAGATTGGCGTACCACACGTCAGTACGGGCTCGCAGCTCACCAATGCGGTTCTCAATGTGGCCCCATGGAATGGAAACGCAATCCAGTGAGTACACACGGTTGACAATCTCCTGTGAAATAACTGCAAGGTCGACGTAGTACAGGAATCCAAGAGCACTTGAGGGCGGAAGGCTTCTCAGCCATGCCGGATCACGCGGTTTATCTGTCGTCTGAGCGTTTCGACCCCCTTTGGGATTAGATGGCATTTGCCGCACAGAGATGCAGGCGAGGGCCGTATCAATGTATTCCTGGCGTAGTTCGGGCTCGTTCAAAAGCTTGGTCGCTGCGGCTTCCACCAATTGATCTTCTTCAAAGGGGAGAGGGAAGGGTGTGGTACAGATACCGTCGGTAATGGTCGTAGCTCGACCAGTCATGATGCCCAGCATGTGCTCGAATGTGTATAGACACCACCACACCCTATAGCGTGCCTCCTTGGATATGTTGGCCGTTCCCTCGCTGGAGTTCTTCATGTTCAACCCGAGAGTGACTGCGGAACGAACGGCCAATGCGGCAATTCGCCAAGCCCTTTTGAATGTCGGATTAGAACAAACACATTTGGCTAGAGGGTTCTTTGGAGCTGCTTACCTGTTGATCTGGTCCGACGCAAGTAGATAGTAGGCGATCAGACCTTCGACCTGCACCTGCTGGAGATCGGGGTGACTAAAAAGCACATCGCCGTTCATGCTCAAAATCCGAGCTCGCGTCAGATACACCAGATGGTCATTCTCATCACCCCGCCACGGGGCCCGCGTAAGATGTGCATGCTTGGCGGAAATGGCGAATATCATGTTCAGGATAGCCAACCACTTGTCCCCTGGCCGTGCAGCGCTCTCAAAGAACGTTTTGTATTGCGCCCGAAAGAGGGTCCGGCTGATGATAGGATAGAATGGGTGGACCGTATCGAGGTAGTCTTCGAAGAATTTATCTGCCACTTTGCGCGGCGGCATCCAGTACACATGCACAGGACCTGGCACCGAGATATCCATGTCGTCTAGATGGTAGTTGACGGAGTGAATGGCAAATTCGCCCTCATGTTCTGCCTCGTAGGGGCCCGGCAGTTTGCGAGCACGATGTTCGGCCTCCATGCGCACCCGCTGCATCCAAGTAACTTCGGAGTTCTTCCCCATATAACCAGTGGCTCTGGAACTCGGAGTGCGGTTCACATCTTCCTCAACCCGATCGATCGCATCCAAAGATCCGATGGACGAAGGAGAGGTCACCTCATCATCGTTGTCTTCGTCCTGGGGTGTCACCGAGCTGGACTGAGTGCCTTCGCCGCTACCGCTGCCGCTATAGGAGTGCTGGTCGGGGTTAGTGACTTCGCGGGACTAGCATAGACATTCGTTTCGTGGAGCGTCAAGACCGGGATATCTCTAACCTTTTCCAACACCGTCCTAATACGCTCCGCAGCCCGACCATCGACAATAGTACCAAGATCTCGCAGTAAGTTCTCATAGTCCGTGACTCTCACAGCAAGTTTATCCAGTTCCCTGAGAACGTCAATATCAATTCCTCACTCTCAATACCAAAAGACAACATAGAACCACGACCAACATACCCTTTCGTCCGCTCTCGCCAAGAGATCGGATACCGACAACTTATCCTCAACTCCTTGCACTGCCGACACACGGGCGTATCACCACTACATTTCGTCTTCCGTTGCCTACACGACTCACACGCCAGCGGGACACGTCTGGTATATCGCGGGGCTGCAGCCGAACGCTGTCGAGGGATGGCGACTTTGCTGCTCCCCGTGGAGGGAAGCTGTTTCTTCTCGGCATGCGCGGGACGGGTGGCCAATCTGGGTTTCTGAGGGTTATGCGACGAGGTGCCCGGAAGAGCCGGCGGATGCGCGGTAGGCACGACAATAGATGGACCATCGGTATGAGGACGAAGGGGGATATCGCCCTGCGACAGGCCCTCATCAAGCTGGGAAAACCCAGGCGTCTCCATGGTCTTTTTCTCCCACGATAGATGGTTCCTGGAAGAGTAACGCCACAGCACACCAGTCGAATCGCCGAGAGAATTAACAGCCGGTCACGTGGTATTTCTTGGATCCGGAAAAGATTCTTTGGATGAGAATTGGCTGGATATATTTTGCGATTTGGGAAGGCGATGAACCACGCCGGTCAATACTTCAGGCGGACGTATGAGAAAGATCCAGCCAAGGTTTGAAGCATGATGTCGCGCGGGGACCGAGTGCGAACCGGGCTTCTAAACCGGGATCAAGGAGCAGAAGACCAGGCGCAAAGTCAAGGTCGAAAATGAATCGATGAAGGTAAGAGGATGTTGATGTGCCCTGAAGAGGATAGGAATGCAGAGAAGCACGAAGATTGGGGGGGTAAGTCTGGAACCAAAAGTGCAGGGGATTCGGGATGTGAAGAGGGGCGTGCGGCGGGATAAGAACTACTATGGCATCCTACTTCTACTACGAAGTACTAGATACGACCGACCACTCGAGACCATTGCAACAAAGTACTTTGTCCCCCCTTCCACTGCCCGCCAACCAACCAGAACCTTCCAAATTCATCCACCGCCTACATGACTAAGAGTACTAGCATGACGTCATGGAAGTCCAGTGCCTTCTAGTGCCTGAGGTATCCACTCATCCCAGCATCTCTCTCTCTCTTTCTTGACACAGGATACTTCTGCCATGGTGCTACATCTCTTCTCATAGGTCGGGCGTTTTCACTCCCTGCAACAACCGCTACTTTGGCATGTCTCGTTCCTGCAGTCACGCCAAATGGCCCCCCACATTCCAGGAAGGATCCGGTCATCCACATTCCCCAGGGCGCGGGAGGCCGTGCGTCTATCAGGCACAGCAGACGTTCTGGTAGATATCTACTCACTATGATAAAAGGGCATACGAGGATGAAGGAGCTACTCCAACTACAAAAGCAGAGAGTTAACAGGCACATGGTTCTCGTCAGATCTAACCCTTGCGGGGAATTTTTGGATTCAAAGGCCACAGGCGCTAAGCATACATAGTCAGACATCAAGCATATCCCAGTGTTTTTCTTTCTCCCTGGTCCTCTCCTTCCTTCGGCCGTATTCATCATCACCTGCTTCGGGCTTCATCTCTCCTTGCCCATCATTTGAGAAGAACTTGCAAATTCAAACCCCCAGAAAACGATCAATCAGATACATCACGGCCAGCCAGGGGATATAATAAAAAATCAAGACGGTCAGAGAGTGAGAAAGGGGAAAGAGTATATATGTACAGGCGCAGCAGGCGCGAGAGCCTCGCCGGTGATGGCGGGGTCAAAACAAGATGCAGCAAGGTTGCGAAACGGGCATTAAACAAATAGAAACTGTACAAGATTAGGTCAAACGGAGTATCAAGGTGGTGTAGGTGGGTAGCCGGCTCAACAGGCCGGCTACAGCGGGAGTGGAGATGGAAGGAGTTTGTTTGGTTTTCAACTCCCCGAGAAAGAAACACACGATCCAAACGCCTCTAGTCTATCGATTGGTGGATGAGAAGTGCCGCGACGACGACGTTCAGATTTCCCCGAACATCTCGTCCAGCTCATCGACTTCCACGGTCTCGGGACTCTGCAGCTCTCGCCACGAATCAAAGACCATCTCGACATCCTGGCTGGCAAAGGCACTGGCTCCCAATGGCAGTTTGTCGTCCTGCTCATTGAGATCGGACATTTTCATGTCCAGATCGGGAAGCCCACTGTTCAGCATGTCGATGGAACGCTTGAGCGCCGATACCGGGGGGACGGTCAGGTCCTCCGGGAGGCTGATCTGAGGGGTGCGTCCGATGGTTTCGGGTTGCGTCTCACCATCCAGCCCGTCATCGGAAGCCACGCTCGTGCCAGACGAGATGGATGAGGCCACAGATGTGAGGGACGGGGAGGGAGATGTGCCGAAGAGAGTGGCGACAGCAGCGTCATCGAGATCCTGCTGCTGCTGGAGATGATCTTGCAGAGGGGACTGCTGCTGGTATGCGTTGTGCGAGAAGTAGTCACCATCCTGGTCGTCCGACATGCGATCACCGCTAATGGAGGAGAGAGGGCTGTCCTCCACGGAATCGGAAATGCTCATGGCGCCATCGTGCAACTCGCTCAGACCTTCCGAAAGAGCAGAAAAGCCACCTCCCGGAATCTGAAGCTGGCCTCCTTTTTGTTCCGAGGCCCGCTCACGGACGGCGCTGGCGGTTTGTGTGAACTCCTTCTCATCTCCTTCCAACGGCGGGGAGGCAGCACGGTTCGAGTGCATCAACCGCGCATGGTGGTGATCGTTAAAGTCGGTGCCAGATCTTGACGCACCGCCGGGGCCATTGCGACCGTCCAAGTCGATGGACTCTTCCTCGAAGTCAGGCGAGGACAAGTCGACCTCCGGACTGGGACTGAGGCGAGACCGCTCTCGCGCCATCGCGTCTTCCTCGTCTAGATCAGCGCTGGAGACACTGGGAGTGATATCCTTGCCCTCTACACCGGGGATGATGACATCGTCCGAGTTCTCTGGCAGAGGCTGACGGGGCAATGTCGTCAAGTAGTAGTATACTTTGCGCGGGTGAATAGGGACCAGTTCTTTTGCCAAAGGACAGGGCGCCAGAGCGGTCCACGGGCGCTTCATGTACGCACTTAACCTAGAAGATAAAAGGGCTGCAGGGTTCGCAGAGCTGTAAAGGAAAATAAACTCGTTAGTATGGCCAGCGACATAGGAGAGGGTAAAGATCAAAAGAGGGGCACGTACTTTGCGACATTCTCATTCAATGCGATAAGAACGGCAGCCAACTCCTTCACCAAATGAGGACGGTTTCCAGTCTTTTCCAACTGCTCAATCACACGAACCACAATGTCATCATTGATCCCCTCGGTGTCGATCTTAGTCGCGACAGTACCATCGGTGGGGGATGGCGGTGGCGTATGTTCCAAAGGACCGCGCCGCCCACTCTGACGTAGAGGAGCGGCGGATTCCTTGCCATCGGGAGTGCGCGCAGAGGAAGACGAGGAAGGCTCGGGAGATAGCGAGTATGCCGAGTCGTGCGACCTCTTCACTTTCTTGGAGGGAGGGAGCTGATCATCGGTCGCGTGAGGCGATTTCGTGGCGGAGGGAGAGCGGCGAGATGTATTAGGGAGGTGAATTCCCAAGGAGGGGAGCGACAACGACTTGCGACGTGTATTATAAGGCATAGTTGCGTAGTCGGAAAAAAGAAGGAAGGGAAGGAAGGTGGTCAAAAAGGTGTAGTAGGGGTACAGTGGAAATAGGAGAACGATAGGCGATAATGGAAGTAGTAGTAGTAAAGTAGTATACCGATAACCACACAAAACACGAGGGAGGAACAATACAGTATAGAAACAGGGAAATAAAAGTAGCACTAAGAGTAGCAAGATAATAGTCTAATAGCACACACACAGAGACACAGATAAACAGACAGATAGAGAGACAAGAAACAATAGGATAGGAAGGAGATGGTGAGAAAGATTTGGGGGGGGAAAGGGGAAAGTAGGGTAAATGTTACAGGAAGTATGGTGCACAGGGGGGGGGGATGAGGGAGGGAGGGAGGATGGATGAATGGATGGATGGGAAGGGAATGGGAGAGTTAGGGAAAGATGGGCGGCGGCGGCGGCGGTGATGATGATGAGATGCCGACCGGCTGCACGGGAAGATGGGGACAGGACAGAGAGGCAGAGAGAGCAATGGAAAGGCGAGGGAATGGGAATGGAATAATCACCGGAACGATCGTTGGCCAGTTAGAGACCGGCCGTACTTACCGTCGGAACAGGAAGCAGCGACGATGGTAATCGAAATAGTAATGGAAATAACAATAGGAAGGCACGAAGCCTGAGGAATCCGTTCCGTGAGGTGGATATGTTCAAGTTGGGATAAGTTTGGATGTGATGGTTTCCACCCTTCGAAAAGAAAAATTTTCTTTTTTTTTTTTTCTCTGCTCTCTCTTTTGCGCCCCGGGTGAAAATTAAAATGGGCAAAAACGGGTGGATGTTTTAGGGTGGCGATTATTGGTCCGACGCACGATGGGGGGTGAATTTTATTGGGGATTTCCAGGAATGCCGGGATGGGAACTGGAACTGGTGTGCCCCCCTCCGATTCCCTCCATTAAAAGGAAAAATGAGAAGAAAAAATAAAAAATATAATAAAATTCAAATTCGAAGATGCGTCTTGTTTTTGTTATTCCATTCTAGGGGATTGTTATCGCTGCTTTTGGATCTATCTCTTTCTTCTTGAGCAACCCCCCACAGTCGGAAGATTGAATACAATCTACTAAGAAGAGACTAGAGGATGTACACATCTACACCGCTTTATCCCAATTCCCTATTCTCAAAGGAAAGAAAGAAAAACGTCCGTGTGTCGCGACCAAAGCAACCCAAGCACAGAAAAGAGCGTCAACTGGACACACACTGGGAAGGAGACCGGCCGAGGGCGAAAGATGGGCGAGAAGCGAAACTAAAACACGGCCGATGGACTGAAGGGGCAAAAAGTACGGTGGAACCAACCATGTGTCTATGACGACCAGAATGAAAGCCCGCGATGGTGATTGGTGGAGGAGACCGTGATCAACTGAGGTTCTGCATGGACTCCATGATGGAGTATGCTCCGTGGAGTCAATCCAAGGGAGGGCGAATCGGGTAGCTACTGCTGGCTAACCTGCAGCTCACTAGAGCGCCTTGGGACCTGGTTGCTGCGCAGAAATTTTTCTGATAGATAGACAGAAACAAACAAGCCCTGCTCGAACATCCCTAACCCGCGATCAAGGCGACCGACCTACTTACTGACTTACTACTTCCAGCCCAGTTTCTTGAACTTCCAGACTAAAAACTCGGAGTGGTTGTTTATTTGTTTTCTTTTTCTCACCGACAGATTCCGCGAAAATCGGACCATTTTTTGGGACTATCGGATTTGATATTTCTTCTTTTTGCCTAGCCTCTAACAAGTAACAAGTCTTCTGCTCGGTCGTTTTGTCTAAAAACTACGGGGCAATACTTCAAACTACAGGTATACACTGTGTCCCTCCCACTGACGGCAAAACGGCGGCAACCACCTACGGGTAGATGCATCATAGCTTTAACACCTTCCATGGTACTCATCAGCCTAGCTTGAAGGAATGCTTTGGTCCATGACAAGTGGGTGTGAAGTGTGTTGGCCATGGGAGCCTAGTGCTGGGACTCGAAAAAGTAGGACCAAACCTTGGGACAGAGAAAAAGGGACACACACCACCACCGAAAAAGTAAAAGAAAAAAAAAAGAAAGGAAGGGAAAAAGCACTACACACAAGAGCCTTACACTAGCGCATAGCGCTGCTGCAGGCGCTAGCCTTCCAAGTTACTTGACTTATGCACTAACTTCGTAGGAGAAATGGAGGCAGGCAAAAACGCAACGAATCACAGTGTACATAGTAGCTCCACCTACAACCGCAGTCCCAAGGATAATCGTTCCTAGCGTCGCCGTTTGGAGCCTATGGCGAATCAGATCGGCGAGAGTGGAGTAGATGCCGGGTCGTCTAGAAGATTGGAAGAGGACCCAATCGGATGGATGAGAGGTCGCGCTAAGACCAGAGCTGGACAAAGGGCACAGCGCGCTCCTTTCTGCATGGAACCCGGGCCTCGCCACTCCTAGTCTTGGCTGGGGGAAGTCTGTGGATTTGGGATACCGCGACGAGGCTGTCATGCATATTGCTGTGCACTGCAGTAGCAGGGGTAGCTGGCCAGTCTCTTGTGAATAGATAGTGGTTGATAGGACAGAATATACCTATGGCCTCATCTATGCGATGTGTGTGTGCACACACACAGACACACATTCTAGTAAATATTATCTGCCTCTCCTACTGTAGATCGGGAAAATGAGCGATGTATCACATCTCAGCAAGGGATCACCAACCTTATGCGACAGGTGGACGGTTCACCAATCATCTAAGTCACCATCACCAATGATAGTTAACTATGAATCATTCCAGGTCTCATCTTCATACTCCATCGTTAGTTACCTATCTGTTGCCTAGGAGGAGAATGTTATCCATTGTTTCCAGGTATGTTCTCGACGGAGCAACAAAAAGAATAATGCAGACAAGACAATGGGTTGGTCAGATAGTCACAGCCACTCTCCACCCTCCACTTTCTCTCTCCACCATGCATTCATCATTGTGCGTATGCAATTGTCATAGTTCCTGCAGTCCAGGGAATGCAATGCAGACGGACGGGAAGAGGATGGGTAGAGACGGAGAGGTAGGAGAGTGGGTAGGTAGAGTGGAAGGGGAAGTCGTACAACTCACATGCTGCAATGTATGTATGTATGTACTTTATCTCCACTCTTTTCCGTGGCGGGCAGCATCTGCAGCTGGAATACAGCAGGACAGACAGGCTGGGAATTGAAGTTGTGTATCATCATCGGCATCACATCATCATCCCACCTCTTCAGCTTTTGTCGGTGCACCAGATCGTCAGGATTTCATGCACGGTACTCTTGGTGATGGGTCTGTCCCACTATTCAGCTCTCGTATTCAAAGCACTGATGTGTCTATTTACTATCTATGCAAAGAAAGTATGTGTATACAGTAGACAATAGATAGCAAGTAAGCGTCAGCCGGAGTATATCACTCCTGAATTCTAAATGCTATACTCCGTAGATAGTAGTCTAGATCAGGGCCCTCGGAACCCTGACCACTCAGTGACTACTTACTACTACTACTACTAACTCTCCGTACCTTTCAACACAAAGTAAAATAGTAACCCTCACCCCAATAATAGACCGCATGTTCCCCCTCCCTCCCTACATCTAAAGCATGTACCTAACCACTCCCAAACTTCAATATATCCATCAATACCTGCACTGCACAACACCGCCCACCCAACAAACAAACAAACAGGAATATTCTCCGCCCCTCCTATACAGATAAACTTTATCCCACATACACATACACATACACATACAATACTTACATTAATAATAGATAATGTATACACTGTATCCTGTGAGGGGACCTACATACATACATACTACACAACACACAGGTAGCATCCCAGTCTAGCCTACATGTAGTTTAGTCCACGCCAACATCAGGGCCAACACATCTATGTTTACCCCGCAGACGCAGATCCAGAGCATCATCGTAATCACAACGCCATCTTGACTTCATCTCGACGATCTAATGCTTCTACCGTTCTCAGATGATCGGGTCAAACCTTGGTTTTGATGGATTTTCTCAACATCGGTTCTGGTTTGGAATTGTTGGCCCGGTGATGTGTTCGCGTCGCGTGACTGGGAAACTGGGGTGGGATTTCGAGTAGCAGGTTAGAGTTTGGTATTGGGAATATTTTAGTATAATCCGGGGAGTATGGTATAAATGAGACTGGGGTTAAGGATAGTGGTTTGATGTTTCCGTTACTATAGTACCTTGGTTGGATTAGAAGTATATTGATTCATGTTTCCATACAAGGATGTCACAGGTTAGGTTAACTACTATGATCATAAGTATTATGCTTACCTCATTATTCAATACTTGTTCACTCTTTAGTTAAGCTACAAGATACAGCTATAGCTAAGGCGAATAGTAGCGAGTAAATACTACACAGTCATCTTCACATTGTGATCCAAATTGTCTGATTATATAGTCACAGTTATAAACCCCGCTATGCTTATTTACAAATACATCCAGTCATCAAAGTCTATCAAAATCCCTAGCTAGTAATATACAAGTGACATCTCCTATATAATCACTTCTCTCTCCTCGCCGGCCGCAAGACATACTTCCACGTTGTCCCAAAATGCCAGCGCTTCTCTTCCACCACCTCCAACCCACTATCCCGCACAATCTTCCCAATATCCCGATTCCACCAACACCCATGTCTATCCGCATGCGCCGACGCCAAATTATCCAAGATACGATTGAGCCAATCATAATGCGACCGCCCGTGCTCCAACAACAAGATCTCACCCTTGTTCGGGTCAACAACCGTCCCCAGATGGCGCAACGTGCCCACCGGATCTGGCATCGAACACAGCCCCATGGTCTGCACCACCGTATCATAATAGCCCTCGTCACCCTTCCGTGACGGATCAACAGGACGCCTAGAAACACCCGCCGCATCCTGCACCTCGAAGTTCACCGGCACCTCATGCTCCGGGAACTGTTTCGCGAACTTGGCCTTGGTGATCCCCACCATCTCCGGACTCAGATCCACAAATGTGACGGACCGGCATCCATGCACACCGACACGCCCCTTGTTATCGAGCCCCCTCCGCTGTCCGAGCTCATAATACGGGAGGTTTCGACCCGTACCGCAGCTGACTTCGAGGACATCGCCGCGTGCGCGACTGATCAAGTCTGCGCGCTTGGAGCCCATGCGCATGACTTTCTCGGACATTTCGACGTCTGCGTCGAAGGTGCGTGCGGTGTGGTTGTAGCGGTCGGAGACATCGTGGGGAACGGAGAGAGATTGCGATTGGGTGACTTCGCGACGGTAGGAGGCGTAGAGGTAGCCGATGTAAGTGCTAAGAGTGAGGGCGCTGACGCCGAGGATGGTCATGATTCTGGGGGATACGGGGGCGGGCGGAGGCGTAGAAGGGAGGTCCTTGAGGTGTTGGTTGGCACGTTTAGGTAAGGTTTTGGGTCTGCATATCACAGTAAGTCAGTAGGCGTGGACTGGATTTGTCGCTGACGGAAAGCGACATGGGCAATGCGGAGTTCGTTAGGACTAACCCGGTGCCATCTGCTACTGGGAATCGAGGCGCTGGCTTGGAAGCAGAAGCAGAAGCAGGCAACTTGGCCTTCTTCAGCGCTGCTCGCCCGACTCGTGGTGCGCTCATGGTTGCGGCGACTGGAGTGATGTGGAATAAAGTGCGGAGGTGAGAGGAAAAGATGGAGAAGTTGGAGAAACTCAAAGATCGGACACCGACCGCCAAGACAATCAGGCACGAGCTTGTTAATTTCATTTGCCAATGCGCCGTTATCGCTGCATCTCCGAATCATACCACCAACTATATAGTCTCTTTCTTCCCCTCATTCTGTGAGAGTCGACCTCCTCTCAATATACTCCATTCAGATTCTCGCCTTCTCTCTCATCATTATAATTTGTTTGCTCCACCCGCAACATGTCACTCCCCGCCAACATTCTTATTGTCGGCGGAGGGGTCTTCGGCCGTAAGTCGCACCACACACACCGCACCCATTTTCCCCCCGGATGTCCAGCATGAGCCAACTTGCTCATTCAATCCAGTATCTACTGCGCTCTCCCTCTCGCACCGTCATCCCAACTCTCAGATCACCCTCCTGGAAGCCTCCCCGATTATCCCCAACCCGCACGGCTCTTCCGTCGACTCCTCCCGTATTGTTCGTGCCGACTACTCCCAACCACACTACGCCAAACTCGCCGCCGAAGCCCTTGATCTCTGGCGCAACACCGAGTGGGGCAAAGAAGGCCGATACATCCAGAACGGTCTTCTCCTGGTCTATCCCCCCGGTAGTACCAATGCCCGCGACTACGCCAACAAGAGCTACGAAAACGTCAAGCAAATCCCCGGCCAAGATGTCGAACTCCTCCCCACTCGTGAGGAGGTCGCGCGTGTCGCCCCTGCCTACGGAGTGAACCGCAGCGTTGCAGGTGGCTACGTGAACTGGGGCTCAGGCTGGTCCGACGCCGAAGCGGGTGTCCGGTACACCAAGCAGCGTCTGGACCAGGAAGGAAAGGTCATCTTCAAGACTGGCGACGTGAGCAGTCTCCAATACAGCAACGACAAGACCAACAGAGTCACTGGCGTCAACCTTGCCGATGGATCATCCCTGACAGCCGACCTTGTCGTCCTCGCAACAGGAGCCTGGACCGCCAAGCTCGTCGATCTACGCGGTCGAACCGTCCAGACCGGTCAAGCGATCGCATACATCCGCATCTCAGACGAAGAACAAAAGCGTTTCGAGCACATGCCTACGATTCTTAACTTCGCGACGGGCATCTTCATCATCCCGCCGCGCAAAAACCTGCTCAAGATTGCCCGACATGCGTACGGTTACGTTAATCCTGTCCAGGTCCCGGTTCCTGGCACCACCAAGGACGAGGGACAGAACATGCATGTCAGTCTGCCAGAGAAGGGAGTGCCTATTCCTGCCGAAGGCGAAAAGGCATTCCGGGAGGCTTTGAAGGAACTGATTCCCTCCTTCGCGGATCGGCCATTCGCTGAGACTCGCGTTTGCTGGTACACTGATACGTGAGTGCCTATCCCCATTCAACTGTGTAATTGGTTGAATTCCTGGCTAATATATACAATTGATAACAGCCCCAATGGCGACTTCATCATAACATACCACCCCGACCATCCTGGCCTCTTCCTCGCTACGGGCGGCAGCGGCCACGGATACAAGTTCCTCCCCGTGCTGGGCGACAGGATCGTCGACGCACTGGAAGGTAAGCTGGATCCTGCGCTGCAGGACTTGTGGAAGTGGCCTGCTGCAGTGTCGGAGAGTCAGTTCGATGGAACTGAGGATGGCAGTCGTTCAGGACCGAAGGGGTTGCGATTGATGGACGAGTTGTTGAAGACGAGAAAGGCGAAGAGAGGTAGTTTGCTGTGAGGAAACAAAAATGGGGGTTATATAGATTAGAGTTTGCTGTTGTGTAGACTTCACTAGACTGTATATATTGACGGTGGAAATATGCAGTAAAAGATGTGTGTACGTATAGAGGGTGGGGACATACTACGTGCACTTGGTCCGATAAAATGGAAATTTGGAGAATATAAGAGACAAACCATAATCTGAGGTTGGAATAAAAGCAAGATGTGTAATAACTGCCTTTCTCTTCTAGTATATCTATCAAATCACAGAAAGAAGCGACTTGGAAATGTTGTATCTACTCTCCTACTGAGTCCTTGTGCAAGGTAGCTAGCCCAACAACCACCCACCTATCTGCACCATAGCTTCTCACAAGTGCACTACAGAATCAACAGCGGTGCTAGTCTCAACTAAATGTTCCCTGTAAAGTAAACATGACATTTCCTCATTACAATCAGGGGCATGGCTTCCCCCCTCGGCAGCCAGGGAACGACTCCCAATTTGTTCAAGCAGCAAAGAAGGCCGAGTCCATTCACGTTTCAACACATGAACTGAAACTATGCCTATCAGCACATCGTACCAAGGGACAAGGAGAGACAGATTAGGGCTTCAGGGAATGGTTGGTGGGTTGGTTGGTTGGCTTTACGGGGCGTCTGAAAACTTCAATTGTGGTTATTCCATCACCGATATACAAGAGGTAAAATCTATTCTATTCTTCTAGTCGAATTAGATTTCATCGTTCTATCTGATGTGTGTAGGTTAATCAAACTCATGTGTAGACGGACAGACAAGGACATGAGTACTACACCAAATTAGAGCATTGGAAAAAGCATGCCCGACGTGATCTGACCTCAAAGACACACAAACAACTACTACATAAGGTCAAGACAGGTTCTAGCTGCATGACAATAATGTACCACCCACTGTTTCAGGAAGAACAGGGGGGGAGTGGAGATATTAACCCCGAATCACGGGGAAATTAAATTCATGCAAGGGTCCCGTCCGTCCGCAGGAGTTATCTATCAGGTACACACTTTAATAACACACAGCCAAGACTAATTAAACTATAAACTACTACAAGCTACTACATAGTTAAGATTAATGTCCGACACACTGACGTTCTACATCATATGACACTGGAACAGACAAGGGATATGCGCATGCATGTCTCGAGTTCATTTTCTACCCATAAAAGTAATAAGGAAATAGTCAAGAATAATTATGCCACTATTTGGAACCTGGGCACGCACGCCCATCCTTCATTCTCCCAGTGTGTATTTCATCCACTTCCGTAGCAGAGCGTAGCGATCTAGAACAATAAACAGGAAAGATTTTTTTTTGGGTGCTTGAGCTTGAGAAGTTAACCCTCCGAATCAATAGCAAGCAAGTCCTCGGAGGTCCGAACCACCTCGAGCGATGACGAAAGCCATACACATCGAGGATCACTGCCAATAGGCAAAGAACAGAAAACCAATAATTAGAAGGAGGCAACCATTCGACCAGCGCACAGTACCGCCCCCTTGAATCTGCGGTGTGCGACTATCTAAGATGGTGAGACACTTTGTTTGTTGAAACAGGAAGGAAAAAAGGATAATAGAGACCAATCGCTCGAACGCCGTACAGATGCTAGCATGAAAATCGTGATGTGCAAAGGTGTAGAAGAGAGAAAAATCGGAACAGCAAAAAAAGCATCAGCCGTGCTGGGTTGAAGCGCGTTGTCCGTTCATAGTACAACCTCGCGGGCCAGTGCAAGGGGAAAAGCCAAGTGTTAATACAAGTTGATGAAGATGGGAAGGACGAGGTGGTCGAGATCTTCCTGAGAAAAGGCGATGCCCTTTTAGACTTTACGGAAATCTTTACACCTGGTTAGCACGATGACCACTTCAAATCCGAAGTGAGGAGAGCAATGCATACCCGAAAGCACAGGATAGATCAGTTCGAACGCCTGGTAGATCTCCTCACGGACCTTAGCACCGGTGAGGACGATCTTTCCACTGACGAAGATAAGCAGCACGATCTTAGGCTTCATCATGCGGTAGATAAGACCGGGGAACAATTCAGGTTCGTAGGAACTGAAGTTGTGATGGCGACTGGCCAAACCCTCCAGGCGGATGGGGAACTTGATATCGCAAGAACCCACGATGTTCTGGATCTTGAAATCCGTGAACTTGGCATTGAAACCAAGCTTCTGAATGATACGTGCGTATTTTCTGGAAGCCAGCTTGGAGTCATCCTCCGACTTGGCACCAGTAACCACCATCTTGCCGGAGGCGAAGATCAAAGCGGTCGTCTTCGGCTCTCGGATACGCATGATCACGGCCGCGAAACGCTATTGGAAGAAAAAAGAACAGTTCAGCCACACTATGCCCTGACATATCAAGCACAGGGAGGTGTGGAAAGTAATACCTTAGGGTTGTACTCCGCATTTCTTGCGTGGAGAGCGATCGTTTTCAAGTCCAGACGACAGTCAAGGTTGACCGTCGCGACAATGTTTCTTCAAAGAAAAAGAGAGATCATTGTTCAGTAATCTGGTGACCCAGAAATAGAGACAGCAAGAGTATACTCACTGCAACGTAGGCACAATGCCACTTCCCGGAGTGTTGGCACCGGGAGTCGCAGCTGGAGTTGCGGGCGCCACCCCGTTGCCATTAGCGGCATTTCCTCCCTGCTGCTGACCGTTCATCATCCCATTCGCACCCTGAGCCATCGCCATGTTTCCGTCTTTATCGGAAGGCGGAGTCAAGTCGCCGGCACCACCGGGGAAGGACAGAGAGGCGGGGGAAGTGAAGGCCCGGGCCTGCTGCGCGGTAGAAGGATGGGTCGTAAGAGAATCCATCGCGACGTGAGTAGTGGAATACTCGAGCCGTAAACCAGCCGACGCTGAGAGTAGATAGAAAAGCTTTTTGCAGATAGCAGTCTGTGTAGACGCAGAGCTCAAAGTCAGTCAAGAGAGGACAGACAAGGTGAGTGACAGATGGAGATGACGCTCAAAGAGACTCAAGAGCGACAGGCACCTGAGGTGTCTGCCTGGAAAGGCAAGACAAGTGAGGTCAAGACCAAGTGAAGAGAACAACGTACCCTTTGCGGGAGATGGACAAGTCAATGTCTCCCCTGCAGCAATACTGCTCTGGGATCCAAGCAATAAACCGTTTCGAAGACGAAACGGAATGAAGTCAAGGTGGAGTGCAGAGGTATGTGACAGGCGATGACAAAAAGCCGCCGTGGAGGAAGGAGGATAAGGTGGATGGGAAGGGAGAATAAGGCAGCGACCAGGGGACTAGAAAAGCACAGTCAAGTGTTTTCTAGGGGAGATTAACTCAAGAGCAGCAGCGTTCACAAACTTATGGATGGAAGTAAGTGAACAAGATGCAGAAGAGGAAGGGAGTGTGAGATGACAGAAAAAGCACGTTGTTTTTTTTGTGGTAGATGACACAACTTTTTTTTGAGAGGGGAGGTGCGTGTGTTTTGTTTGCTTTTCTTGGTTTTTGTATGAATTGGGAATGTCTATCTGCGATTTGGAGAGAGAGTGTGGCGAAGATGCACACCTGAGGCTGCAAACTTCCTGTTTCAGTAACGGAGACTGATAACGGTTTGGAGTTCAGAAGAAAAAAGAGAAAAAGGGAAGAAAAGAATTTTTCTTTCCCGATTTGATACTCTTTTTTTTCTTGGCTTCCCTAAAAAATCTTCTTCCCGGAAATGTGTTTAGATCCAGCAGGTTAATAGCAGAGATATAAAACAGCTGATATCAGCAGTAATCTCTGCAAACCGTACGTGAGTGTGGAGAGAGTGTATAGGGAGGGGAGGGGAGGATGGCGGGCGGGAAGAGAGGACAGTATGGCTTTCCGGGCGGTGCCAAGACCAGGATCAAAAATTCCAACAGCGACAGGAAAGTGGGAGGTTGGGCCTTTATATAGGCTGAGTCACAGCGCCCGGGCGCAGCTGGCGTCAGGGGGGGCTGGGCCCGGCGGCGGCGGCAAAAGCAGCGACGAGCGGTCGCTTTCACTCGCTTTCCACTCGCTTTCACCCATGGAAGTGGCCGCTCTGGCACTGCTCGCTGCGTTTTAGCGCCTCCACTAGCGGCTCTTGGGTGGCCAAGCGCCATTCCGTCATCTCTGGTTTGTTGATCGGCGACTCCACTCACCACACCTGCGTTCGTTCTCGTTGGCTGTCGCCCCCCTTACGCTGGGGTTGCAGGCCTGCAGCCACTCATCTCCCCAGCCAGTCCGCGTCGCTCCTGCAACTGATAACTCTGACCCACTTTCCAGTCCATCCATTCTTTCAGTCTACCAATCATTCCGCCTTACTGCTTTTTCCCCTTCACTCCTTCTTTTTTCCTTTTTCTTTTTTTTTTTCTTCTTTTCTTTTGCCTTGCCGCTTTAGCGGTTGCCAACTGAACAAAAATTTCTTCGATCCCTTTCACTCTTCCTGATCTCTTTCTTCCGAGCCCCAAAAATACAGCCTTTGGGGAAGATTATTTTTTTTGTTGGGCCTGATTCATCGATGATCATCAAGATGATTCCAAAACATTCTAACAGATCACTACTTGACACTACACTATCACAGTCACAGCTAACCGCTATTGATGAATCTCATTCTTGAGTCACAGTCTTTCTGTTTGTCCAAGAAAGTTGACCAGTCGTGAGGTCGCTCATCCCGGTACGCGCCGGTCGCGTCGTCGGTCGCGTCATGGGGTTCATCCCGCGCGAGGCTGTTCTCGCCTCTTATTTGGCGTTTGATTTGCCGCTTTCCAGCCAAGTTCCATACCATAATAACATACCCCAGACAACTTATAGTAGATCTCAGGCAATTTCCAGCCTATTTGATCCACAAATCTTGCCCCCCGATCGTAGCCTTGCGCTGCAGTCGGTGTTCATTCAATTTTAGTGCAGGGGACGGAAATAGCCTCGACAAGGGTTATAGGCTACTAACCACTTATCGCTTTCACGCGCAACTCAAATCTCAGCATTTATGGGAAAACTTCCGCGACGCGACTTTTGACTCAAAACTGTCTGTCGGTCGGTCGGTCGGCAGGCAGCGGCTACAGCCGTGTTCAATACGTAATCCGGCCAGGTGGCCTTTCCCATACTTTTTTTTGCCATCTAAGTTTGTTACCGCACCACCTTCAGCCTCCCCGGAATATCTAAACTGTGATAGAATGGTTGGTGTGGGATGGAACCCGTTTCAAGTCTATTTTCACTTTTTACTTTACCATGGATATATGCCGGACGGAGGACATCATGACTAGAATGATCCCGTACCACTCCGTCGGTATTATTAGTTGTGGCCCAAGTGAAGAATCAGCTTACTGTGTACAATAGCAATCGAGATGTCACAAAATAGGCATCTATGCAACATGGGGCAAATTAAAATAAATAGAAAAAAAGTCGGTCGGTAATGAACATCCATCACATGGGCTGTCAGCGTTACTTGTCGCTTGCTTGCTTTGCTTTTGCTTATTCGGCAAGCGGCAAAAGCAGCATCGCTTTCGCATTCGGGAGCTTGGCGTCATAGGGTCGTTTGTTTTTGTTTTGTTATTTTTCGCCCTTTTCATGTGATCAGCATCATCTGTCGGTCACGTTGACACCCCCTTTTTTCGGTTGCTGCATATTTGATGCAGTAGGAAGTAACTAAGATAGTATACATTCTATAGTTAGTTAATTTCGATTGGTTTATGGTTATCGTGGATCGTCAGTACACCAGTTTTTTTGTAGTGATTTTACCGTTTTGGGAACTATATATACTTACTAAACTAGTTGTATACACCCCTACAGTACTTCACTACAACAACTACTACAAATTTACTACAACAGAATACTCACAATAACCATAATTCATCCATTCAATAAGCCGAACATCCATTCAATTCCCCACCACCACATACCCCAAAATCACCTAGTAATACTACGTAGTAATCCCTATCTCAACCCCCTCATCCCCGCCCCGGGCGCCGGCAAATAGGGCAAAACCACCTGTTTAATAAACCGATCACTTAACCACGCCGACAGGGTCAAAAAATAAATAAACAGGAAGAAGATCTGCGGATCATTGCAAAGACGATTAAACGAGCCCAAAATCTGCGTGAGGAGACGATCATCCTCCGAATCGAACTCCTCAAGCGGCTTATCCACAGGAAGGAAGAAACTATTTGCTTCTTGCTCCCGCGTCATGAGCATGATATTCTCGCGTCGGAATTGGTTCACGGTTCCTTTGCCGCTGTCGGGGATGCCGCGGACATAGAGCAGGGGGTAGAGGTCCATTAGATTGGTGAGTTTGGTGAGGGTTGTGTGCCGGGGGTCTCCTTCTATTTCTATGATTAGATATTGGTGGTCGGTTGGTTTGGGGATGGTTATATGGATTAGAGAGATTAGGGAGGGGGGTTAAGAAGGGACGTACCTTTTCGTTGGATGTCAATATCAATGCCCTCGTGATCTGCAATGGAGTGCTCGCAGTCGATGCATTTATCGCTGATATCGTTGGTATGGGATAATGAGAAGATTCCCCGTGAGCAGGGACAATCTAGGCCTATATTGCCAGATTTGAGTTCCGTTTTGCATTTCCCGACGGCCATGAGGCGGGTGGATGGAGGGGATGAGGAGGATGAAGTGGAGGCGGCGGTGTCGACCACTTCTACGACATCTTCGTCGTCCATTGGAGAGGAGGGACGAGGGGTGGCGGTGGTAACGGTGCGTGTTGATGGTATGCTGGTGGAATTAGTACCAAATACCATGTTTGCTGTTGACGGTTGTTGTATGATGGTGATGGTGATGGTGAGTTTGGTCGTAGTAGGCTTGATAGTCGTGACGATTTGGGACTCGGAGACGGGTGTGCGCCTTTTATAGCTGTGTCGCACCATTCCAGTGATTAAGATACTTTCTGAAGTGGGTTCCGTGAAGGTTTGGTCTAGATTGTTACTTCGGAGCGTTGATGGACTGGTAGTTGCGGGGGTTAGGGTGTGTATGACGGTGTTGTGAGGTTAGGCGACACGTCCTTTGGGGGTCGTGATGGGGAAGTGATGGAATTCGGGAGTATTTACGGAGGTGTGTTCCTGGATGCTTGTCATTTGCATGTGTTAGTTGGTTGGTTGGTTGCATCATGTGAAGTATATGCTCGTGGGAGAGCCATAATGAATTAGCTGTGAGGTTGCTAGGCTCGTTGTGGTATAGCACATCTACCATCAGTCTTACTTTAGCTGCCCTAGCATTCAGCTTGAACATCATTCAGACATCTGCGCTGCTCATCAGGTAGCTTACGCTGAGAAAAACAGCTTATTTCCCGAGTATCACGGTATACTCAGTATTCATCGTCACCGCAAACTATGGAGTACAACTATATATACAAGGCCCCGTCCGGGCTCAACACGCAATAACGTAACAGGCATCCACCGGCCTGGAAATAAAACATGATCAAACATTAGTAACCAACGCCACAATGGATACTGATCCATCCAATCCTTTTTGTACCCTGATGAAGGGTAGAGAGAAATATGTAAGTGTTGAAAAATCGCTAGGCCTAAGTCATGAAGTACTTCGGGCCCTCTCCACCTTGAGGTGTCTGCCAGTTGATATCCTGTGTAGGCACCTTGATGTCGCAGGTCTTGCAGTGAATGCAGCTATGACTAGTTAGCAAGAGAAACAGTACGAGCATTTGGGTTTGACTTACTTCTGGGAGTTGATCTGGAAGCGCACGCCGTGGGGCTTGCTAGAGTCCTCCACGTACTCATACACACCGGCAGGGCAGAAGCGGTTCTCCACACCCTGGTACTTGGGCCAGGCAACATCGGTGTGCTTGTCCCAGTCCTCCACCTGCAAATGCACTGGCTGGTCTTCCTCGTGGTTGGTACCCGTGCGGCTGACGCTGGTGAGGATATCAAAGCTGATCACTCCGTCCGGCTTGGGATACTCGATCTTGTTGCATTCGGATGCCATCTTGGTCGCAGCAGCATCCGTACCGTGGTGCTTCAAAGTCCAGGGAGCCTTGCCCTTGAGGACGTATGCTTCGAGACCAGAGTACAGGATACCGCCGTAAAGACCCAGCGGTGTGCTGAAAGAGGGCCGCATGTTACGCACTTCGTAAAGCTCCTTCCAGATGGACGACTTGCGCAGAGCTTCTTCATAGTCGAACAGGAATACAGAGCCTTCCGAGCTGCCCTGCAGGGCCGCATAGGCGGATTCGGCAGCAAGCATGGCCGACTTCATTGCGGAGTGGGTACCCTTGATCTTCGGAACGTTTAAGAATCCAGCACTATCACCGATAAGCGCTCCTCCCGGGAAAGCGCACTTCGGGATCGACTGGAATCCACCCTCGTTGAGAGCCCGTGCACCGTACGAGATGCACTTTCCACCCTCGAGGACGTCCTTGTACAGAGGGTGGTGCTTGAGCTTCTGGAACTCGCCGTAGGGTGACAGCCAGGGGTTCGGGTAGTCCAACCCAACCACCAAGCCAATGCTGACCATGTTGTCGCCAAAGTGGTACATCCACGCACCACCATACGTGTCGCTAGGAAGGGGGTATCCCAGGGAGTGCGTGATCTCACCGGGCTTGAACTTCTCGGGCTGGATCTCCCAGATCTCCTTCACGCCAATACCGTAGGTCTGAGGCTGGCTATCGCGCCTCAGGTCGTACTTCTTGACCACCTGCTTCGTCAAGCTACCATGGCAACCCTCAGCAAGAAGGGTCACGCGGGCGTGGAACTCCATTCCCCGCTCGAAGCTGTCCTTGGCCTTGCCATCGCGACCAACACCCAAATCATTGGTGGCCACACCGAGAACCGATCCATCCGACTTCTTGTAGACGAGTTCACTGGCCGCAAATCCGGGGTATACTTCAACACCCAATTCCTCAGCCCTTTCTCCCATCCACTTCGTAAGTTCGTTCAGACTGATAATGTAGTTGCCATGGTTGTTCATCTGTGGCGGCGCAGGGATCGGAATGGCTGAGTTTTTGGTCAAAAAGCGCATCTTATCCTCCTTCGCCGGAGTCACATTCTCGAAGCGAGACGGATTGTCTTCCGACAACCAATCTGGCAACAGCTCGTTCATGGCGGTAGGCTCCAGGACGTTACCCGAGAGGACGTGTGCACCGAGTTCACCGGCCTTTTCCAGCACGATGACACGGAACTCCTCGTTGCCGGCTTCATTGGCGAGTTGCTTCAATCGGATGGCAGCAGCCAGACCAGCAGGGCCTATGTTGTAATAAAGACAGTCGATTAGTTACTGAATCCTGTGCCATACCTCTATACGCCAAACGAAAGAGGTCCGGGCCATTCTACATACCACCACCGACGATACAGACATCGACCTCATCCGACTCTCTGTCCAACTGTCGCGGATCAAAGTTGCCATGCTCATCAGTCAGCTTTCGGGATAGTGATTGCGAAAATGCTCGAGTCTGAACGGGCGGGAAGAACGAGGTGCGACGAATGGCACGCTTGCCGGACGCTGCGAGGGAGCTGTTCGAGATTCGGGCGGAGTTGCTGAAGGGGGCGAGAGAGGCGGAGGGTCTGGAGAATCGCGACCAAGTGGGTCGCAATTCGCGCCTCAGAAGAGGCAAGACAGCTCCTTTCGAAGCCATGCCGGAGAGTCAGAAAGGGAGCAAGGTAGGAGAGGAGAGGTCACAGTAGTGTTGCTTGAATTGGGAGCTCCTATAAACGAGACAACTGCATGGTAGGATGGGAGCAAGCAATATGGGAAAGGAGTGGCGGACGAGAAGGGCACAGAAATGGCACCAAGCGGGATGGTGAAGGAGAAGGAGAAGGAGAAGGAAGAAGCAACTTCAAGCGTGGGATCCAGATCAAGAAGAGTAAGTAAGTAGGCTAAGGTAAGTCCCCTCTCCGTCACCGGCAATGGAGAACGTGACTAAGAATATGGCGGCCGTGGGATAAAATTTGGCGGTGGGTGCTGGAGGTTGCGGGCAGAACTTGGCCTGCCTTGGGACTACCCGAGGCTATGTCGGCCAATGGGAGGTTCGGTGATGGGAATCACTCGCACGCTTGCCGCTTCGCCCGCGGATTTGCCGTCAATCCCGTCGGATATAATCTTCTACTAGTAAGTATCGAGTCTCGACACATGCACCGAGTATCTAGATAGCCGTCTTCGGATATATCATGGGCTGCCACTCTTCCATCCGAGCGAATCTACCATAGAGACGATGTCAGAGTGTTTGCAGAATAGTAGTACCTTGTCCTTGTTACTATTCTACCCAACAATCATTGATACTATTGCCCATACTACACTAATGTAATAGCCTGCGGACCCGTGCCTGGATAACCAACTACCTTAATATAGTTAGTTACAAGAAGAGAGGAATTGCTGGAGCATTTACACCAGCCCTAAGACCTTCCGAAATATTCCCAATTGTCTCGAACCACAATCGAAAGAGATCATATCTTCATTCATTCAGCTTCATTCATTTAGTAATCAGACATCAAAATTGCTCACTCAGTTGTTGTGTGAATAAATCGGTTGGTGACGTCTTTTCCCTCACCACCTAACTATGAGTTATTCACTACCTAAGTATGAGCCAAGACGTATATAAATACCGATCAACACCACTTCTTTCCTTCTCAATCATATTTCTCCAATATTTCAAGAGACTTGATCTTCTGAGCTCCTTTTCATTGTTGACAAGATGTCGCAAATCAACCCCGACGATTTTAGGAACACGCTCATGGCCGCTGTTCAACAGCACAATAGCCGCTATGCATCTTCCCACAACCTCGCTATCAGATGGGCAGATGACGATACCAATGCTGCGAGAGATGTAGCCAACTTCCAGACGCTCCTCGAGAGACTTTCACTTCCACGTGCTCAGGAGCTTGTCATTGGAAAACATGACAAGACTCCTGTATGGACAATCCAGGGGGCGTTTCGCAACAAGCTAAGCGCCGCAAAAAGCTCCCCTGGAAGAAGCCTCGTGACTGTGCACTATTCGGGGCACGGCTTACTTGTAGATGGTGCCTTGTCCTTTGCAGATACAGTCGCAGGTGAAAGAACGTTCTCCGCCAATGTCACTCTCTTTTACCTTGTTGCTAGCAGCAACTACGGAGGCTATCTGGCAGAGACTGACAAAGTTGATGTTCTGTTCATCTTGGATTGTTGCTATTCCCACATGGCCCTACGAGGGGTAGAGGTATCCCCTCGAGTAGTCGAAATGATAGCGACCGTGGACATAAATGATCCGCTTGCGTTCGCGCCTCCGCAGAATACCTTCACCAGTAAGATTATTTCGGAGGTCGTCAGGCGCCAGCGAGAGGGCCACCGCTACATCGAAATGGCCGATCTCATCCAGACTCTGCGTGCCTGCCCAAACGCCATCAAAAAACCCACGCACGGGATCACGATTGGTAACCACTCTATCTGTCTCCCTCTTACGGGCCTCGCAAATGTGGACCCGACAACCATCGCTCCAACGCTCCGGGCAGTCTTTAGCGTCCATCTAGCGAGAAACATGAATAAAGAGGAAGTGGAGAGGCTCGCCAACTGGGTGAAGACTCTGCCATCAGGCATGGACATCACGCTAGACGGCGTATACACGGCAGAGTCGATGATTTACATCTTGTCATCTGCCTATTCCGTCTATCTCAAAATCGCCGGGATACCAGGGTACAAGCTTGTGGCTGAGGTGACTAGCCATAACCTGGTACGTACCCTCTCCCAACCACCGGCGACTGGGGGAGCCGGAAGTAGCCCACAGAAGGGGAGAGACAAAAAAGAGAACATCAAGCTTATGCCTCCGAAGACCTCTTAGATCTAAAACACCCTTCTTCTCTTCTTCAGTTTCTTTTCTTGTTTTAAGGATTGCCGCGTGTTTTTTATTCTTATACCTCTTGAGCCGTGGTGCCGCGGGTTGCTTTACGTCTGTTGTTTAGCGTATTTTCTTCAGCAATTCCAGCAAGTGATTAGACCCGCGAAATTATGTTTCGTCCATATGCCGTAGATATGTAGACAAAAAGTAAGATATTTCATCTATGTGTTGTCGGTAACGATAGCTATAGTCCAGTATATACATTGTAGGGTGGGATATGTCGAAGAGTGCCTTCTGAGTACATAGATGCTGTGCTATCAACACAAAGTATTGAGAGGCTGACTACCCTCACAGGTAGATCCTATTACATCAACGCAAATATATAAGATTACAATGTTTAATTTTGTCCAGCCACCCTGTGGCAAATAGGCATCACTTTGCCTGATGATGAGATCAGTCATATTCATTGGAGCTGAAGCTCAGCCGCGACTGCCATCCCTGCAGCAATTGACAGCCTTGTTAATTGCTTGGCAGGGACTAGACCCAGTGCAGATTAGTGGAGGTTCCATTTTTTCTACATTAATATATTGATTAGTATGGGGTAGATGTTGAACAGTGAACTACAAAGTAGATAACTTGGATAGACATACTTCAATTATTGATATGATATACATAGTGATATCATTGTACATCCTGCTACCATTGCCTAATATACTATTGTGCTGTATGTATCCTACCTAGTATGTGAAATGCCGAAACGACTAAAGCATTCAGCTACTTTAGTAGGAAGCTTGACCGGGCCACCCGAGTGGGCGGAAGCCGAGATAATTATAGAGGGATGCAGCAGGGCTGTACCGGAGTAGTGGTGCTGGTTCAGGCAGTGTTGAGTAAGATAAATGTAGATCGGCTGCCCAGCATAATACTCTGTAGAATCTACATGAATAACTCATAAACATGGGCAACAGCACTGCCTCTGTAGCTAGTTGAGAGTGACATAGTGGACAAAGTAGTCAGGCGGGGCCACGTGGATCCCGCCGAGGGAAACAAAGTGAGGCGATTCCAGACTGCGGCCTCTGATTGGGTGCCTTCCCACCGCCAGCATCAAGTTGAATTTCCATTTCCACCCGGATTTCTGATTTGGCAGGGCGGTCAGCCTCTCCCAATCAGTTCGCGCTTCTCCTCTTTTCCCTGCTGTGACCCGGTTCATTCGCCCTCAAAACTCTCCTTTCTCCCTCATCTTCTTCTGATCCTGCCTGTCTTGCTCTCTTTGCCCAGCGCTTCCCTGGAATCCCCGTGCTGCCGCTCTCCTTCTCCCGCTCGACCGGATCTCCGTCACCATCTAACCCTCTTCCAGTCCCGATTGTGTGTGTGCGCGCGCGCGTGTGAAAGCCAGCTCTTACCTGAGAGCTACTTCATCTCTGGTTCAGCTGTCCCCTCAGCGTACCAAACTATCCTCTCCTTGCTTCCCTAATCAGTCAGGCCCACCGTTACCTTCTGGAACCGTTCTATGGTCCTCGCATTCCCCGGATAAACACCCAGGAATTATTACTTTGCTGAATACTGCCGCCATCACAACTTCCAGCTCTAGATTGCCCAGGATAACGACCCATTTGACCCCTCAAGGATCTGTTTCCCTACGGTCGCCTGTACCATCATTGAATCGGAATTTTCTTGTTTGAACCACGTTCCCGCAAGGCCAGAAGCGTTGCGACTGCGATTTGCTTGTTGATCCGCCTGGACGGATTTCACCTCGACCATTGTGCGCGCTGTGCTAGTCCAATCTCTCTCGCCATCTACTACTACCCGCCATGACTGAGGTCTCGTCCACCCGACTCTATCTCGGGAATCTCCCCCGCAATGGTATGAAGCCATCTACAAACTCTCCTTAGGTCTCCTTGTTTTCTCCTCAACCCGCTCTGGATGTTGCCCTTCTTGTCCACCTCTATCTTCGACACAGAATTCGGGATATTCCGCTGGATCGCCATGCGTCTGGATTGACCTCCCTGAGTCACCGAGGTTTTCACCCCTCCGGAGATTGATGGCGGATTTTCCTTCCTTTTGTTTCAATCTTCCTTGCTTGTGTCACGGTAAACTCAGTTTTCCGGATACTGGGTTGGCAGCCTCGAAATCTCATCCAGTTGTTTCGGTTATTTGTTCTTTCAAACCATTCGCAGTAGGCTGACATTGTACTCACGGCGCCCCGGGTGGGCGCCATTAGTGGGGTTTCTTTTACAGTGACTAAACAGGATATCGAGGAACATTTCAGCACCCATGGTTCCGGAAAGATTACAGAGATCAAGCTCATGAATGGCTTCGGTTTCATCGAATACGAGGATGCGATGGATGCTAGAGATGTTGTACCCGGTAAGTCACCCTGTTTCGCTCCCTAGCTGTTGCGTGACCATGCTAATCTAGGACGATTATATAGCCTTCCGTATGTACCAACGCAAGCACCATATTCAAAGATCTTCATGGTTGACTTAACTCTCCATGCAGACGGCAGTGACTTCAAAGGCGAGCGCCTCACCGTGCAATTTGCCCGTGGACCGCGCCGCAAGGAGAACTTCCCTGGCCCAATGGACCGTCCCAACATGCCTCGTCCGCGTCGCACGATCTTTCGCATGATGGTTTCTGGACTCCCGGAAACAAGTTGGCAGGTTAGCAGCCCAAGTCCCCTTTCTTCTGGATCCACCGGACGCCTTGCATCTCGGCCGATTTGCGTTCCCTAATTATCCTTTCCCTGTACTCCATTCTATGTTCCTCCACCTACGGCCCAAGGGAATCCTGGCGACGATGATCAGCTCCTCATGATGTATGGGTCGTTCACCAACCAACTTTCGGACCCCACCTAACTGAAAGGAAGGCTGGATGGCTGCCTCCAATGGTCGAACCCCAGCTCTGAGAGCTGAGAGCCGAGGCCGGACAACCCTGTCCAGGATGGAACGCCCTCGCAGTCATCGAAGGATCCCTTCGCCTACTACCCTGTATCGCTTGGGTCCCTTCCTGGCCTGTTTTTCCATATTGTATTTTTCTAATTGCTGGCACCCGGACACATCGGATACCACTGTACCACTCTTGCACCTGGATATGGACTCACATCCTGGGGTTATCTAGGATCTTAAAGATTTTGCGCGTCAGTCTGGCTTGGACGTGGTTTACTCTGAAACTGGCCGTGAACTCGGCAGAGGGTGGGTTAATCCTTCAACTTCCTATCCGGTCGGACAGGACCCCATTGACACATGCTCCCAAGATTCGTGGAATTCGAGACCGCCAACGACCTGAAGACGGCCATTGAGAAGCTGGACGGACGTGAATTCAAAGGCTCCCGCGTAACTTGCATTGCCGATGTAAGCAACTTTACTGGTACCTATGATCTGAGTGGAACGAGAAACCTCATACCCTTCCTAGATTCAAACTTACCCGGATGAACGTGCCATTCGTGACCCGTACCGATCTCGGTCCCCTCGTCGGAGTTACCCGCCCATGGATGAGTATGACCGGCGGTTCCCTGCGCCGCGTGGCTACAGCCCCCGGGCTCACTATCGGGAACGCTCTCCCATCCCAATCCGGAGGGACTATTATGACCGGGATGGATACGGACGCCGCACTCCTCCTCGCCCTCGGATGGAAGACTACCCTCCCCCGCGTCGTCCCTACGATGACCCCTACGATGTCCGCCCACCCCCACCACCTCGCCATTATGATGACCCGTACGCCCCCCCTCGCCCTTATGGACGGCCTCGTAGTCCGCCTCGGGGCGAATACATGCCTTACGACCGCCGCGGATACTGGTAGTCGTCTGTAATTAGCTCGTTGGTTGAGTTACCTCAGCGCATGGCGGATACCCCTTGTGCATGCTTTCCCCCTTTGTTCTCTTGTTGAACTGGTTTCCCTCATTGCCGTTCCGGATGAGTTGACAATTCCCAATCGGAGTCAGCTTCTGGATTGAACACGGCCTCAGATACGAATGCGTGTGTCAGGTTGACATGGACAACGGAACGACACTGGCGCTTGCTTTCATCACTTGATGTGACCATGATCTCTAGCCCCGCTGGTTCCGGGCTCCGACTGGAAGGTTTTTCGAGGTTTCAAAAGTAGGCGTATGTGGACAGCCGTGTCGGTGGTTTCTTTGCCGGTGTGGACGGCTTTCCTGCACATAATGTACGGATGGACCTGCGGATGTGGATGGATCTTGGCCTTTTTTTTTATCTAACGTAATCACCCACGATGTCGATCATTTCACGCCCCCGGGATATTGTGTATAGTGCAACAATCAAATCAAAATATAGTATTTCCACGCTTGTTGGTCGTGGAAGTAGGGTACATAGTTAACTAGTTTATTATTCTAATAAGTGACTCGCGTGGGTCCCGAGAAAATGAAAGCAGCTCCCCGCGCTAAACCCAACCCCGCCATCGTCTCGTCATCCGCAGCTCACGCGAAATTTCCTTCCAGCGCAGCTCTTTGTCTGAGAATTTTGCCTCGGTGGGACGGAATCTCAAAGTCAGGAAGGCCAATTGATCCATGCGACTGCAGTGGTAGCTTTCTTTATCTGGTTGGTGCTATCTCTACCAAGAGTTCGACTGGGTCTTCCACGCTTACTGGTTGACGTCACAACAGCCCATTGATTGTCTGGTACTCCAGCAGCTGCAGCTTCGAGCTCGTACCCCAGGAACTGACTAGATCCAGCTCTTTCCTCTCATATCTCTGTCGCCCATCCTACAGTCATCATGGCCGATCAACGCGTAAATGTCCATATCCCATCCCATCCCCCGGTGTTGGACAGCGTGCGTCTCCGTAACATCCAACTGCCCCTCCCAGCTGCCCCGGACCCATGGCACCGTTCCGGTAAATCGCAGCCTTGCACGGCATCGCTGAAGCTCTCCTACTCCTCCGCCGTGGCCGCCGCCATTGCCGACGATGTCTCCCTCTCCTTGGACTACGGCAAGCTCTATCGCCGTCTCGAGGAGGATATCCGTAACCTGGGCAAGCACCCCGAGAACCC